ACAGGCTTTGGTTTATTTTAATTTTATGAAAGGTTGGTTTTATTTTATTTAGAACTCGTTTTACGTCCTTAAGTATGGTGGACTAGTATTTTAGAAAAAGGGAATTTTGTAAAAATAGGCTCTTACGTTGATAAGAACTTTTTTTTTTTTTTTTTGGAGTCACCACCTCTTTTAGGGAAAATTCAATTATGAACTAGTTGTTTCTTTGCGAAATGATTCAAATCCGGTTTTAACTTAAGAGACTATTTTTTTTTTTTTTTTGGAGTCACCACCTCTTTAGGGAAAATTCATGAACTAGTTGTTTCTTTGGAAATGATCAATCCGGTTTTAACTAGAGACTAGGTAAGGGAGTTAGGTACGGTCATGGAAAGGTTTTAGGCATCTGGACCGCTCGGTTAGAAATTGACCTCCTTGGTTGTCCATTCATTCACAATCTCGATAATATGATTAACTCTAATTGAGGTGTAAAATATATTTTAATGCATTTTTGTAATATGGCAATCAAGAGCAATAATAATCAAACACAACATGAAAAATAGTCAAGCAAAGAAATGGGGGAGGATAATAGAGTTATAACCCATTCCTACGTTAGATTCTACCCTTCAACCCATTAAAATTTTCCAAACTTAGCAATATTATAAATAAGCAATTTATGGAATCCATTATGAATCCTTACATCAAGCTCAATATAAAGCATTAAGCCAATCACAAAGAACAAAGCAATAGACATGACAAACATATAATAAGTATTCACAGGCCATAAATCATGCAATAACATTAAAGAATCACAACAAAAGGTAATAATACTAAGAAACAATAGTTAGCACAATAAATGAAAGTCAATAATAGAAAAAAAACATAAAGTAAATGACTTGGAATTTAAAATGACAGAAACTAAACAAATTGGAAAGTAAATGATAGAAGAATAAATCATTATTATTCAGCTTAGAATAGGATTAGAGTTCAAGAATTTGTTGTTCATCACCATTGATGAATAACAATGACCATCACTATCCATTTTCCATTCTTTATTTATTCATCCGGGCCATGAATGAGTATACGCATTTTAAGCAAAGGTGCTTAGTGTTCAACTTGATTGGATCCCAGAATCATGACATATTATTTGAAAAGATAGACTCTAGGGCCAGAAGTGAAGACCCATGCGCCACATGTACTGGTGTACGGGGGTCTTACCAGATTAGAAGTCCAGAAATCATATTTCTACTCTGTTTGGCTACCCACAGTTGCGTGCGCCACACGTAGTGGCGTGGCGCCTTCATCATGTGGTGTGTGTCACTGCAGCTCAAACAACAGAGCTTGGTTGATCACTGGCTTTCCCTCAAGACCAATGTAAACCAAGCGTTTTTAACGCTTAAAAAGATGAAAAAGATGAAGGAAAAGAGTTAGGACCCTCAAAGGTCACTTGGTTATGGAGAGGATCCAAAGATTTTTACAAAAAGGAACCAAGAAACCCAAATGCTCTAACACTCATTGAATGATCCGAGTTTTTATTTAAATGAGATTGTTTGTGGGTATTTGATCACAAAATGTGAGGGGGTTTTAGCAAAAATGAATGATTGAACTTTTGATTCCAACTAGAATTACAAAGTGTAGCTTTAAATTCAAAGTTGAGAAATAAAAATGATAAAGTTTCCCATTTATGATAAAAAAACCTCCTCCATCTCTTAAACCCTTACCCTACGTATAGGCAAATGGGGAGATGAAATGGCCTTTTAGGGCCTAGGTGGCAAGTGCCATTAGTGGGCCCCAAAAATTGGGTTGGGCCCATTTTTACTAAAATGATCCATGTGGTACACAAAATGATGTGGCACGCTAGGACATGTCCCTGTGCGAGCGCTTTCCGAGCTCGGTTTCATTGCGAGATTATTGGGAATCAAAAAAATAAAAATAGTCAAACAAATCATTTTCCTAAAACATGGACTATTGGTCCAAGAATCAGAGCAATTGGGCATCTCGATTTCGCTTTGTACAAAAAAAATTATCATCACTGAGTCCTTTTGGGGCAAAACTTGAGCGTCTATGGTTTGCCCCCACTTTGATGATATTTTGCTTTTTAAGCAAAATGTCATTAAAGTGTAAAGTAGACGTGCAAGTAAGAAATATTTACCTGATGGTTATGAATTTGCCATGTCTTGGTGAGACAAGGCGGGCGTCCTTTAGACTGAGTTGCATTCTTTGAACGACTTAAATGTATGAGGTGTGCCATTTTGGGCGACTTTGCTAATAAGAAGTGTCATTTTGGCGATGTTCAGCGTAAGAGTTGAGTCATACTGGTGGTTGACGTCTTCTGCGGGTGAATGCGCCCTTTTGGCGACTTTGATCCGTAATGCGTCATTTTGGGCGGGTGCGTTCTTTGAACGTCTTGATCTAAAGTGCATCACTTTAGGAGGGTGTCACTTTGGACGGGTGCATTCTTTGAACGACTTGAATTGAAAGGCGTCACTTTGAAAGGATGTCACTTTGGATAAGTGTGTTCTTTGCACAACTTGAAAACATATCACTTTCGATGGGTGTCACTTTGAACATATGCGTTCTTTGAATGACTTGACCTGAAACGTGTGACTTTGGATGAACGCATTCTTTGAATGACTCGAACTGAAATGTGTCACTTCGGATAGGTGCGTTCTTTGAACGACTTTGAAATGTGTCACTTTGGACAGGTGCGTTCTTTGAACAACTTTGAAATGTGTCACTTTGGACGGACCAGCCTTAAGCAATTTTGCAAACAGAAAATAAAAGCCTTCGACCAATTAAGGTTAGTACCAAAAATTCTTTGATTATGCTCAGAAAAGCGTGTTCGTGTTAAAATGCGTGACTTTGCATAAAAATATGAAATTGTGTGACTTTGCATCAAAATATGTGAAATTGCATGACTTTGCAATAAAATATGTTAAATTATTGAAAATTGTCGTGGCATGCAAAATAAGAAAAATATTATATGTTGCCCCTTTCTATTCACCATGTCTGTAGAAATTCATTTTCTTTTCTATTATTTTGTGTTTGTGTATCGGAGAGATATAAATCAATAAGTTCTGAATTTTTATAGTGATGTTTGGTTTTGTTGTTTTTTCCTGATAAAAGAAATCAATTGAATACTGAATGTTAAATCTAGGCAAAAGAAGAAAGAAATGAAACTAATTAAGAACTAGTAATGATGAAATGATTAAAATATTATTTTGGACCAGCATCAGTGAGTTAAAATTAATAACTAATAGATTAATAGATTAATAATTAGTTAATGGATTCTCAAATAACTAATACATTAATTATATTTTGAATGATTAGAAACAAGTGATTTTATATTTTTTTTTACTAGGATTAGTGAGTTAAAATTAATAACTAATAGATTAAGTTAATAATTAAAGTTAATGGATTCTCAAATAACTAATACCATTAAATTATATTTTGAAATGATTAGAAACAAGTGATTTTATATTTTTTTTACTAAGGATTTAGTGAGTTAAAATTACATAACTAATAGATTAATAGATTATATACATTAGTTAAATAGAATTCTCCGAATAAACTAATACATTTTAATTATATTTTGAATGATTGGGAACAAGTGAAATTTTCTTAATTAATTAATAGTAATTATATATGCCTAAATTAATTAAAAATTCGTTTTGAAAATATTCAGTATTCTGTAAATAGGTTTTTGCAGAAGATGACGAACGGTGTTGAACAAAAGGTTTTGAGTGTCCTCTTGTAAAAATAAAGTATTACAAGATCTTTTTTTCATGGATTTAACAATAAAAACTCAAAGTTTCTTTTTCTTATAATTTAATTGGCAAACTCAAACTTTGGATGAAAAAACCTATTTAGAATGATAAAATTGAAAATGTCAGGCATGTACTGGGATATTTGAATCAAACTGCAGAGGACCTATTTAATTAATTTTGGATCAAATCTCAGAAAAGAAAATAATAAATTTTCCCTTTTTTTATAAATTAATAATTAAATAATTTATAAAAACACTATTTGTTGAAACTCCAAATTTAATTAAAATTCAATAAGCGAACCCAAAATACAAAACCCAAATATTTTTTTGGTGGGGGGGGGGTTCCCCCCCCCCCCCCAAATTTTTGGGGTCGGTTTGCATTATGTTGGCCGCAAAAAGTGAGGTAAGAGCGAACCGCAGGACCATAAATTTTTAAAAGCGATGGCGAAGCACCAAGAGAAAGAAAGAAAAAAAAAAAAAAAAAAACACAGAGCCCATAGCATTGCCGGCATGGCAAGTGGGAATAGATGGCTAAGACCTCTCTTCATTCCCACCTAGTCTTATCCAAACTAATACATTAATTATATTTTGAATGATTAGAAACAAGTGATTTTATATTTTTTTTTACTAGGATTAGTGAGTTAAAATTAATAACTAATAGATTAATAGATTAATAATTAGTTAATAGATTCTCGAATAACTAATACATTAATTATATTTTGAATGATTGGAAACAAGTGATTTTCTTAATTAATTAATAAGTAATTATATATGCCTAATTAATTAAAAATTCTTTTGAAAATATTCAGTATTCTGTATAGGTTATTGCAGAAGATGACAACGGTGTTAACAAAAAGGTTTGAGTGTCCTCTTGTAAAAATAAAGGTATTAAAGTCTTTTTTTCATGATTTAACAATAAAAACTCAAAAGTTCTTTTCTTATAATTTAATGGCAAAAACTCAAAACTTTGGATGAAAAAACTATTTAGAATGATAAAATTGAATGTCAGGCATGTACTGGATATTTGATCAAACTGCAGAGACTATTTAATTAATTTGGTCAAATCTCAGAAAAGAAATAATAATTTTCCCTTTTTTTATTAATTAATTAATAAATTAATTTTATAAAACACTATTTGTTGAACTCCAATTAATTAAAAATTCAATAAGCGAACCCAAAATACAAAACCCAAATTTTGTGGGTCAATTTGGGTCGGTTTGCATTATGTGGCCCAAAAAGTGAGGTAAGAACAACCGCAGGACCATAAATTTAAAAGCGATGCGAAGCACCAACAGAGAAAGAAAGAAAAAAAAAAAAAAAACAAAACACAGAGCCCAATAGCATTGCGGCATTGGCAGTGGCTAGATGGCTACAGACCTCTCTCTTCCCACGCTAGTCTTATCCAAAATCCACCGCAAGACCTTACCAATTTACCTAACTAGAAAACCTCGCTTGTCATCTCCGTCGCTCCCCACTACTTATCCTCTCTCCATTTCCAAAAATGCCGTCCCCAAGCTTCGTCTCCTTTGTCAGACTGCCGGAACGCAGTCTACTGGTGTCTCAGGCTTTGAATTCGCTGCCCAAGTTGGCCAACATCGTCTTTGCAAGGTCTTACTTTTTTGCTCTTTACGTATGTGTTTTATTTGTTTGTACATCGATGTACGGGTATGAGAGGCTGTATTGAATTTCAAATTGCAGGTTCCTATTTCCAATATCAGAAATTTCTGCATCATAGCGCATATTGATCACGGGAAATCAACTTTGGCCGATAAATTGCTTCAAATGACTGGGACTGTGCAGCAGCGGGAAATGAAGGAACAATTTCTTGATAACATGGATTTGGAAAGGGAAAGAGGCATCACAATCAAATTACAGGTTTTCTGTTTTTCGTTTCTCTTTGAAAAGGGATGAGAACTTATTTATGAGCTTCAGATTTGTGTTTCCATTTGGTATAACTACATTTGTCGTTTTCTGGGTTTTACACAATATTTTGGTACATATTTGTATTACTTTCAGTTTCCACTAGATATGGTACGACTTGCTTTGGTTTCTGCGTTCTTTTCTTAAGTTTCTCAATTTCTCTTGGGCAAAAATTCATGGTAGTGTTAGGAATATGAATTCACCATTCATTTGATCCGAAAAATATTATCAAATTAGCTTCTTCTTCTTTTTTTTTTTTTTTTTTTCTTCTCTTTTCTTTTTTTTTTTTTTAATTTTTATTTTTTTTTTTTTTTTTTTTATTTTTATTTTTTTTTATTTTAAATCTAACTTAGCCTTTTGGTTTCTCTTTTATGAGCTTCGCCTATTGTGTTAATTTTCATCTCATAAATAAGAGTTCCTTTGTATTTGAGTTAAAATTGCTTGTCTAGGATGGACCATTTTAGATGTTGTTAAGAAAAGTATATTTGCAGTACTAATTAATCGTTCTAAAGCTTTTATGATTAAAATATACGAAAAACAAATTTGAATGATCTCTAACCTACGTTTTCGACAATTCTGAATAGCGGCACAAAGAATAATGTCAAACACAACCTAAATATAGATGTTTGTAGTGTTTGTAAAGAGCATTACAACTTGAAGATTGTTGACGAGTCTAATTTTTCTACATGAAATAATGAGGGAAATAACTTAATGAGCATATGTGATATGTGCTCAAAAATTACTCTTTTGTTATTCTAATATTTCCTTGACTTAGGTAATTGGTCTAATATTTCATTCATCAACTTGACAGGCATCTAGGATGCGCTATGTTTATGAAAATGAACCATATTGCCTGAATTTGATTGATACTCCTGGACATGTAGACTTCTCCTACGAGGTATGTGGCATGTCAAGTGTTTGGACTTATCCTTTAGTATTGTAATTCTCATGCTTGTCTTTTATTAATTACAAATTTGCTTTTTGTTTATAATATAATAAACCAAGATCTACCTGAACACAACTCTGTCATTTTAATCCCTAGTTATAGCTTAATAGTGGCAATAGAGAGAAATGACTTTGATAATTAGTTGGTCTCGTTAACATGTTATCTAAAATCGTAAAGTTTGATGAGATAAATATTGTGGCCTGCAACTAGAATTTGTTGCAAATTCTTCTTCTTCTTCTTCTTCTTCTTTTGGAATGGGAAAGCAATGCTCCTCCAAAATTAACTTCTCTTGGGGGAGAATATAATTAAAATCTTAACCTATGCTTCTGCATCCTTGACCAGATTCTGTTTTCTCCACAACAACTACAACAACAATGCTAGATAGACCATTATCTTGTTTATGGGCCTAATGTGTTGTATACATCAAACTTTGCATGTTTTTGCAATTGCCTCCAATTTTTAAGAGGACAAACCATCAATTCTCTCTTGAACTTCTTACCAATGTCCAATTTCGGCACGACTATATTTTAAGCTATTGAATTAGAGAGAAGATAGAGAAAATTATAGGGAAGGGAGAAGAAGCTAAAACATGAAAAATATAAACAAAAGAAACAAGAAAAAAAATAAAGGAAGATGGTACAGAAGATTGTACAGCATGGAAGTATTTTAGAGATTCAAGAAAATCCAATTGAAAATGTTTGAAAGAACTTGATCCAAGGTGCAAGTTATGATATTTCTTTACAATTCATTTAAAAATTTTATTTATGCTTTGAAGATTTCCTTGTGAAATACGGTTGCTTGTTTGAACTATCATGTTACAATAAGGTATTAAACTCAGTTTATATGAATAGGGTTCACTATAGAAATTTAATGGCTTTTATCCTAATTTGTGAATTCTTCTCATGGTTGATCATTTACTAGTAAGGAAATAAAGCTAGGAGGATTTATTTCTAGTGGAGAACACACTATTCGATTTCCCTTATGGGTAAACTTGAGTAGTGATTTTTAGTTATAGTGTATCCATGGTTATATTGTTTGTTGTGGTTATTTCGGAAAAATATTTATGTAATGGAATCTTTTTTATTACAATGGTACATGATCTTTGTCTTGTAGACAATCCTTGAGAAACTTGAGCATAATGTCCTTGAAATATTATCTTCTGCTAGCTACTATCTTATGAACATGAATTGAAGTTTTCATAACATTGGCCGGGCAATGCTCAAACCAGACTGTTATATATATATATATATATGCCTCAAAACCAGACTGTTATATATAATATATATAATTATATACTATATATATATATATGGTTTTGAATTTGAATGATAAATAAATATGTTTGAATTTTGGAATGATAAATAATCAAGTCAAATTTTGAATAAAAATTTTCTCTACACTAAGTATATGTTGATAGCAATTAAACTGTAATTTCACATTACGTATCTTTATATTAATTAGTATATATTGGGTAGCAATTAAAATATAATTTCACATTACTTAGATAAATTATATAATTATTATGTTTAAGGTTGTTTATGGAAAATATATATGTACAGATTATTCATGTTCAGCAATAGATTTTTTATAATTTTTTTAGTAAAAAAATGTAGAAAAGAAAATGAAGACCTAGTGAAGAACTAAAATTTGAAATTAGTGTAAGATTGAAGAACTGAAATGATATATATTTTTTTAAATTTTATTGTTGAGGCAACAAAGGGAGCAAATTAAGTTTTTATATTTGTAGAATATATATATTCCGCTAAAAATCCCCAACCCCAACTAAATTGAATTTATAGGTTTGGTTTGAGTGCCTTTCATAATTTGGTTCGATTTGAATTTTCCATAGGCTTGGTTTGGATGAGGCTTTAAAACAAACCAACCGAACCATGAACAATCCAACCTAATGATATGAACAACTCTAAATAGGAATCTTGGTGGTTATTGATGTGTTGTTGTGTAATTTTCATCATAAAGTTAAATGTTTATACTATATAATGATCTTGATTTACATAATTACTTTCAATTCGGAATGAGGCATAAGGTAAGTTCTAATGTTAGCTAGAGTGCAAAACTTATTTGATGTGGTAGTATTGAGGCTTAACAAATAATAGAGGGCAGCATATATTGAGATTTCATATCTCTTTCTTGACGCGAGACATGTTTCCCCATCTTTAACAAGCTAATCTTTCATATTTGAACTTGTATTCAACTCGAGTGCGAGTCAGATGTGTCAAGGGCTGTGGAAGAGAGGATCACGAGGTTAAATGAAATATTTACTTACCATTAACAATTATTTTTATGCAATGTCTGAAATTAATTGCATGTGCTGGGGAGATTTTTAGTTCTATAAAGTGTGTTAGAACCTTTGGGAATAGAAGAAATTAAGACCATTAGATGAAACAAATTTGAAGCTTTTGATATTCTCTTGGAGAATACGTCATCATGTTTCTTCTTTACGCAGGTTGTTAAAAATGAGCCTGGATAAGCCAAAAACACAAATTTTGCACCTTAAGGTGGGGTAAATGACTTCCTACAAAGTGTTCACATCTGTTTGTTTCTAAGTAGAATTGTTGAGTTTTGTGCGTACGTCCGTATCATGTGTAATGATTTCATTTCTCTTTGGATGTAGAGAATCTGTAGAAAGTGATTATTACTTATTGAGTGGATTGTGCCTTTGTCAAGCAGGAGCTCATCCGCATTAAGATATTTTGGCAACAAGTGATTAGTATCACACTAGTGGAGGCGAGATAAATTAGAATAAGGAGAAATAACAAAAAAAAAAAAAAAAAAAAAAAAAGAGATAAATTAGAATAGGAGAAATAACAAAAAAAAAAAAAAAAAAAAAAAAAAAAAACGAATCGCCATTATGCAACCTAAGGATATTATTGTTTGCTTTCCTCTATAATTATGTCCTTGTGCAATTGATCAATCAACAGTATTATAATATTGGACGATTAACAATATTCGATAAAAAAAAAAAAAAAAAAAAAAAAAAAAGAACCATTATGCAACCTAAAGGATATATTGTTTGCCTTTCTCTATAATTATGTCCTTGTGCATTGATCATCACAGTATTATAATATTGGAGATTACAAATATTCGGATTCAAACTTGAAAAAGAAAATTCCAAAAGCATATATCCCAGAATATAATTAGTATATGTCGTCTGCCATGAGAGAAATTGCAAAGTAGTCAAAGACATGTTAAACACCAAAAGATCAATGAGTTGAATCTCCAAGATCTTAAATAGTTGATTAGATACATTAAATGTCAAAATTAGTCATTTAACATATGCATAAATATCTGTGTGCAGCATATGGTGAAGTATGAAGCATATGTGACAAACTGAGGGATTTTTATAACTGAAATCTAGGGTACCTGAAATCTAGGGTAATTTTATATAGATTTAATGGATAATTGCAAAATTTTGGTGTATGAACTTTGTGAAATTTTATATTTTGGTGTATGAACGGAAAAAGTTTGCAATTTGGTGAATAAACTCTTAATTTTTTAACAATTGAGTGAAATTTACACACATGGACAGCCGGAAATCCTTGTAGGATGACTGGATTTCACTTTTTCATTTTTTAATTGCTGATTGTGCGCCAAATAGGATGCCACGTGGATTCAGTGAAAAATGACCAAATTGCCCCCTTCATCTTCCTATGGGATTAGGGTTCTTCAATCTCAACTTCACAATTAATTTTAAATTATATAGTCAACCTCCTCAGTTTCTATGGACTCCTACCATGGCTGTCGTTCAGAAAATTACGACAATAAAGCCGATTCCAAGGACTGCTCTTCATTACCACCGTCCATCAAACTTACTCAATCTCTCTCTTCAAACTTCTCCAGAAAACACAAGAGAAGTTTCTCCTCTTCATTGTATCAAGAGATTCTACAAATGATTACTAGCTTCCTCCCACAATACAAACTGTGGTTTTAATCAAACTAGCCTCTCAAAAGTTTTACAAGACATAATCAAGAGAAGCAAAGATCCAATTTAGGAATTCAAATACTGATACTGAAGATAATGAGGAGAAGAAGAGAAAGAAATTGTATTAATTAATTTGAAAAGTTCTTCTTATGTGTGTAAAGAATGTATAAGGTGTTTCATGATTTTAGAGCATCAGATGGACAATATTAGAATTTTTTTGGCAGAGAATCAAACGATAAGCGTAGGAGTGTTTGAGCAGGATCCAGTTACCTTCAAAGCCATAATCCAACTATGATTGGTTAGAGCACTCGATTCTTTACGTTTATTTGTTGAGAATTTGAAAATTTCTCAACTGTTCTTTTTTGCGGCGCAAGAGGGGAGCTCATCATTTTTTAGGGTTTTTTTCCCTTTGATTGAACGGTCAGAAAGAGACAGGGAAAAGATGCTGAGATAGAGAGAGATTTTTTCTGTTAATTCACATTTTCAGTGTTTTTAATACACATGGCATCCTATTTGGCGCACAATCAGCAATTAAAAAATGAAACAGTGGAACCCAGTCATCCTACAAGGATTTCCGGTTGTCCACACGTATAAATCTCACTCAATTGTTAAAAAATTAAGAATTTATTCACCAAATCGTAAACTTTTTCCGTTCATACACTAAAATAGAAAATTTCACAAAGTTCATACACCAAAATTGCAATTATCCTTAGATTTAAAAGGAAATGCAATAGGATGCTAACAAACAGAGAGATTATAGGAACTGATTATAGATATTATGACAGGTTATTATGTGTGAAATTATCTAAAGATCAAAAATTAAGATTTGCTGATATATTGGTAATTGTTTGCTTGCAATTTTATCTATAGGTTTCTCGCTCACTTGCTGCTTGTGAAGGTGCTCTCCTAGTTGTTGATGCTTCTCAGGTGAAATCTAATTACTTTTTCATTTTTTCAATATTGATTTTTCCTGTATCAAAATATTATCTGATAATTGTGTTGTTAGGATTTGAAATTTGTATATACAAATTGAAACTTGAGTATAACCTTTTTTTTTTTTGACACATTTATGTTTTATATTGCTGTTACATTGAGGGATTTTTATTTTGTTATAGGGAGTCGAAGCACAAACACTTGCTAATGTTTACTTGGCCTTGGAAAACAATCTAGAAATCATCCCTGTAAGTGATTCAATGTTGTTAGTTTTACGATTATTCCAGTTTAGTGGAATATCGCATTATAGACTAAAAACATACTTATGTTTTAGCTTGGATTTCAAAATTAGTGATGCTAGAATTTAATTTTTTTGTTATTATTATTAATATTTGTCTTATCTCGTATTATGTGTCTTCTTTTACCATGCGACTCGTGTTGCGCTTAGTGATGTTGCAAAAAATAACCCTATCGTAATTAGGTTGTAGATTGACAAGAGAATAGTCAAAAGGAAAACTGTAAATCATAATTAACCAAAAAGGTTCTGAATCTTATGGTAACGTGAGCCCAAAAAATTAAGTTACAAATGAATTGGTTCTATGATTACTCAAAAATTAAAAAATCTGAAATGTGCCTTAAAAAGAGTATTGTAGGGGTTATAATCATACTTGAATAAGCTCTTAACTGTAAATCCCAATAGAATTAATTCCTAGATCGCAAATCATAATAGAAGAAGGATTTGAATGTTCTATTAGTTACAACAAAAATAAAATATAAAATAATCCAAAATTGGAATATTGCTACAGTAGTTTGAACAATTATCTGCGAGTAACACAATCTGTAACTTCTTGGAAATTCTGAAAGTAACACTAAAAGTAACTATTCCAAAAACTGTGGTTAAATGTTCTAGAATTTGAATGAGCTTTGAGCTTAGATTAAGCATAAAACTTAATAGACAAATTCCTAGATAAGTTGTTCACTGTCTAGAATATAACTTGGTTAAAATTAAAATTAAAATTAAAATGTGAAATAACCCAAAATTTGTATTGCTACAGTAGTGTGAACAATTATCTGCAATGGTAACACAAACAGTAACTTATTGAAAATTCTGAAAGTAACACTAACAGTAAATAACCAAACGCTATGATTAAAAATTCTAGAAAAAATGGAGCTTAGAAGCATCAAGTTTAATCGACAAATTCCTAGTTAAGTTTTTTTACTTAATTTTCTATTTTTATTTTGACCAATTTGATAATTGCAATCAAAGTCTTAATTGGGATAAAATTAACGAACGTAAAAATTTGGGACAAAATTAAAAAAGCACAAAGTTTTGAAAATTTTTAATTACCAAACCTTTTTTTTTCCTTTTTGGAAAAAAAGAGGTAATAGCAAAGAGAATTAAGACGAAACTAATTATGAAATTGTATGTCAAATTATATTGTATTAAAATAAGTGTAAAAGAATATATATATATAATTTTGAACTCTAGCTATAGAAAAAAAGTTACGATTGGAATTTATTTTTTGAGTAGAAAATGATTTTCTATTTTTAGCAAATAAGCATGTTGTCTGAGTTCTTATAAAATGAAGACAGTTTTCAATGGGAGTTAGAAGACAAACTTATTTCCTCCAGTGAACAAGCCTAGAACCCTGTTCATGCGGTATCCCAAATATTGTGTCTTGACATCCAAAAAAAATTAGATTTGATATATAAACCCTGAATCCTAAATTAGGAAGCCTAAATCCCATATTAGGAATTTCCTCTTGGATGGAATAATGGATCTTGACCCAATACTTTTTGTCATTGTAATAAATTGTTATCTCTCTCTTTATGATATTGAAACTAACTATTTGTAAGAAACCTAAAAAACTAATTAAAACATAAAGCGCATTTCAAACAAACACAATTATGCTTATTAAATTGTAAAACTAAGTAAAAGGCTCAAGGCCCACATGCTTGGATTATGTTGAGTACTCTTGAATCTTTTTTCAAGTCCATATCTTCACTTGACATGCTAACATCAGCCCCACCTTCTTGACCAATCCATGTAAGGCTTACTTGACCTTCTTAGCCCTAGCTCTTGTGATGGGCCCATTTGAAAGGTGAATGTCCTCTTGTCCAACTAGAGGTTGTTGATATGCATCACCTATGGTTCAGTGCATTGACACTATATCAATTGTCTTTTGTTCTCTAGCACATTACCACTTCGCCTTATTTTGTTAAGTGAGAATGATGTGTGAACAAATGAAAACATGTAGTGTATCAGTAAAAATATCATGCTTGTGTGGTTCATATGACATCCATTTCGCAGATACTTGGCAGAATGATGCCCAAGACTAGGGATAGAAGCGGGACGAGTATTTTAGGGTACTCGCCATGCTCCGATCTATTTAAAACAGATAGTTATAAATGGGTTTGGGATGGGTATCGATAGTGAAATTACTATCCGCAACGGATAGAAGTATAGGCCTCTGGGTACCAGCTATATTAAACGGGTTTGGTCATGGGTATCCGCCGGTAAGCCCATTTATTAGTAGAAATTGTATTTTAAATAAGTTCGTTTGGATAGTTTAAACTTTGCAGATACCCTATCCGTTTAAAGGGTATTTTAAATGGGTTTGGGACGGTTAGGGTTAATGAACTCTTAAATGGGTTTAGAAACGAGTATTTATATGGATTTGGGACGGGTACAAGTAGTGTAATTCTAAAAGAATGGTTAGTCGAAAATTCGCGGGTACCCACGTCGCTTCGATCACTATCTATGGACGATAAGATGGTACCACATCGCTTCCATCACTATCTATGGACAATAAGATGGTCTTATTGTCATCTGACTGAAAATCTTAAAAGATATCCTATAAATTAAAATGGAAGTATTTATACGTCATCTGTTTTTAAGCCCCTTCATTTGTCAATTAGATAACTGAAAAATTTAGATATGGCTGACTGATCAAGGTCAATAGTGTAATACGAGCTCAAACTGAAATTATGGTATTTGGGATGACAAAGGCATTGTAAAGTTCTTTCAATTAATCATGAAACAATATGAGAATATGGTACTAGCCAATTAATAGAGAACATTCTCTTGTTACAGGTTTTAAACAAAATAGATCTTCCAGGTGCAGAGCCAGATCGAGTCATCCAGGAGATTGAAGAGGTTGGTTCACAAAATGGAAGAACTTCATTTGTTTAATTGGTGTGTAATCCATGTTGGTCCCTGTAATTTGGAAGTGCTTTTGAATTATTTAGTTGTGTTTTAGTAGTCTATTTGGAAGTGCTTTTGAATTATTTAGTTGTGTTTTAGTACTCTATTTGGAAGTGCTTTTGTTAGGATGTGCAAGCGCGCACACCCCAACCCCCCCCCCCCCCCCTTGGTCTCCTGTTAATTGGAAGTGCTTTTGAATTATTTAGGTGTGTTTTCTAGTAAGTCTATTTGGAAGTGCTTTTGAATATTTAGTGGTGTTTTAAGTACTCTATTTGGAAAGTGCTTTTGTTAGGAAAATGTGCAAGCGCTGAGCGCGCACCACCCCCCCCCCCCCCCCCCCCCCCCCCGGGGCGCGCAAAACTCTTACAGGGTGATAAAACAAACAGCAAAGTTTTTGGTAAATTTGAATTTTGGCACATTAAAATTTTGGTAGGGTTATTGTTTTTGTTTAGTCTTATTTGACTGAGTAATAGTTTTCCTTTGAGGCTTCAAACAGGAGTATATGGGTATGAAAATGATATATCTTTTCATGCAGGTTATTGGTTTAGATTGTAGCAATGCAATACGCTGCTCTGCAAAGGTTTGTTCATGATTATCTTCTCTATGTCAATTAATCTCCTACTTTTGGACATAATGGAAAAAGGTTAATTATTACTTTGAAATTCTTGTCTAAATTGCTATTTTTCAACAGGAGGGAATAGGTATAACTGACATTTTGAATGCAATCGTCAAGCGGATTCCTTCACCATGTGATACTGCAGAAATGCCTTTGAGGGCTTTAATATTCGATAGGTATATTTATATGCTTTGGTTATTGCGATGGACCTACTGTTGTTGATGATTTCCATGACTGATGATTCCAGTAATCATCAAGTTTATACAGTGTACGTTCATGATTGCATCTAATTTTCCTGTCTGATTAGTTTATGACGTTATGTTAGTATTTACTTATCATTTTGCTGGTTTAAGTACATTTAACCTTTGAATATTGATATTCAAAGAACTGGGTTATGTTTTGAAGTTATGAACTTATTCTTTTGTAGTTTAAAATTGCTTAATTTGTAACTAGGAATATGGACCACGAATATTGAATCCATTGTAAATTAATATTACGGGTTTAGACCTGTCTTATGTTTTGAAGTTATGAACTTATTCTTTTGTAGTTTAAAATTGCTTAATTTGTAACTAGGAATATGGACCACGAATATTGAATCCATTGTAAATTAATATTACGGGTTTAGACCTGTCGTAATTGCCACAATTTTGGAAACGTTATAGTTTCTGTGTGAAAGTTAACTTCTTTGATTTATCATCTTTCGCGATTGCTGGTTTTAGTACTGATTCCTAATTTTCCTCTCTGATTAGTTTATGATGTTATGTTAGTATTTACTTATCATTTTTACTGGTTTAAGTACATTTAACTTTTGAATGTTGATATTCAAAGAACTGGGTTATGTTTTGAAGTTATGAACTTATTCTTTAATGAGGCTTAATTTCACTTGTCGTCCCTTAGATGTACATGCTATCATATTGTCATACCTCTAAATCAATTTGTAACATAAATATGTATGAACTTCAATTTAGTGAACAATAAATTAAAAATTTACCAACCGGCTATGAGGCTGACGTGGCGGATATTACCTGACAAAGCATGTCACATCAGGCACATGAGTCTAAACAACTTTTCTCCCACTCATACAATTCGAACAACTTTTCTCCCAGCCTTATCATTTCTTCAGTCCCTGCGAACCCCCTTGGGTGCCGCATCCAACACTTGAGCCAACCGCCTCCACTATTCTCCCTTTAGCATACCACAATGACATCAAATCAAACCCGATGTCTGCTATTACCTTCTCATTCAAATTCGCAGAAACAGGCAGTCTTTTGATTCAAAATGCATTCCAAGTCCACCGATAACACCTTTGCCGTCAAGTCCATCGATAAGAGCCTACCTCCGGTGAATCTCTTGCCACGCAATGCCTTCTTACCGAGTCGAAGATCTCCACCTTCTTTTACCTCATCCTCATAAAATCCAGCTCCACAATCTATACGAAGTCGAAACGAACCTTCATATGGTAATCAAGTTGTGCTCAAGCCAAGATCTTCACGATTTAATCATGCCTGGCCCAGAGAACATCAAGAATAGTCTCATAACTACACTCCTTAGGATTATGCAAAAGGAGCCGTAACTGGAACTTGTGCCAAAACTGAGTTTGTTGAGGATATTCATTGGAGTCCGGTAATAGGAGATGGGTCTCGAGTTCTGAAGGGAAATGCAGGGATTAGAACAAAATTGGAGTTTCTTGGAGAGAGTAAAGAAGGGTTTAAGAGGAGATGAGGAGGAACCATGAGTTGGCAGCGGCAGAGGAGTTTGCTAGATTGTGGAGCAATTTCTTTTTCTTTTTCTTTTTCTTTTGATAGGTTTCCAGGAGCTGCTGAGTTAAGTTTTGTAGAAATTGCATTTTCAATTCTCCATTCCTTTTTTTTTTTCCTTTTTCTTTTTTGGTTTTGCAATTTTCCTTCCTGTCAAATTCATTTCATATGATTGGGAGTGGAAAAAAGAAGAAGAAAAATATGCAATAATTAAATATAAATTAAATATATTTAGAATATAAATGTTATATTGAAAATATATTTAATTAGATTATATAAACATTACATTTAAAATATAATTATACTATATTATATTTCAGTAGCTGTCAATTTAATTTCCCTCACTTGCATTTGTAGTTCTTTTTGGTGGGTTATTTTATTTGTGGTGGTATGGAGAACGCATTTGTATGGTTTGCTGTTGCTTCTCCAATTCTCTCAATATTGCTGAATGAGAAACTAGGTAAATTTGGACTTACGTGGTTGATGTGGCCTGCTGTGTTAGGTAAGTATTTTAAAAAACCGCCACGTCAACCTTGTAGCCGGTTAGTAAGTAAATTTTAATTTGTTGTTCACTAAATCGAAGTTCATGCATATTTATGTTACAAATTGATTTAGAGGTATGACAATGTGATAGCATGTATATCTGAGGTACGACAAGTGAAATTAAGCATCTTTTATGTTTTAAATTGCTTAATTTGTAACTAGGAATATGGAGCAACAACATTGAATCCATTGTAAATTAATATTATGGGTTTAGACCTGTCTTAATCGCCACATCTCTAAAAACGTTATAGTTTCTCTGTGAAAGTTAACTTATTTGATTTATCATTTATCACAATTGCTGGTTTTAGTACTGATAACCTTTGCTCCTTTTGAACATTGATAGTCAAAGAACTAGGTTATTAGAAGTTATCTACGACCTTATTATGGGCAGCTTAAACTGCATAATTTGTAACTAAGATATGGAGCAAGAATATTGAACCCATTATAACTGAATTAATATTGTGGGTTTAGACCTGTCTTATTAAGATTAAGTGCCACATCTCTAGAACTAATATTGTTTCTTTGTGAAAGTTGACTTCTTTGACAATTTTGAGAGTTTGTACTGTGGATTATCATTCTATACGAAAGCTATTTTGTCAGCTTGAGGTTATATTAGTTTAAACATAGCAGGCATTTTGATTTTGATCCTAAAATGACAGAAAACGTGGATTGTAGTTGTGAAGTAAATGAAAGCATGTGTTTCTGAGATATTGGGCTGTGTAGAAAAAGTCAAAGATCATTAACCTTATTGTCATAAATGTCCATAAATTTAATTATGATTTATTTTTCAAGGATACATTTCATTAAGCTGATTAACCAAATGCACATTTACACATTTTTTATTGTGTCGCCCTCTTTTTTGCCAATTCGTATAGTTTCACTCTGCCATTGCGACTTCTAGAGATGTGACATTTCCCTCAGGGTGTATTGCATTGTTAAATTCTTCTGCAGTTATTACGACCCATATCGTGGTGTTATTGTTTATTTCCGGGTCATAGATGGGAGTATAAAGAAAGGTGACAGAATTTATTTCATGGCTAGTCAGAAGGTAAAGTTCTCTCATTCTTATTAATCAACACTTTTTGCCTGTAGATGTGGTTTTTGTTCTCCTGTACTCTTGCTTATTATATGCAATTGAAAATGTATTCAAATACCTGCTAATGAGTTGGTAAATTTAGGTTATTCAGACTCAAGTATTTCTTAACCCCCGGATTTCCCTCTTTCATTGTCATATCACAGGATTACTTCGCTGATGAAATTGGAGTTTTATCCCCCAATCAGTTGCAAGTGGAAGAATTATATGCTGGTGAAGTAAGACAAGACTTCCTCTTATTTATTTATGGCACCTTTTTCCTTTTTTCTTTCTTCAATTTTTATCTGGGTTGGGTGAAGAAACCTCACTCTTTCTCTCCCTCACACATGCATATGTGCAGCAATGCTAGTGACAAATTACCATAGTAACCAAGATATATTTTCTTGCCGTGAAAGCAACAAAAAGCTTAATTGAAGGTTTTCCTGTAACTGTGTTATGTTTGAAGTTGTTTCGAATTGGAGACTACTTTCTGTTTCGAAGGGAATTCTTGAAGAATAATGTTTCCTCCTGTTTATTTGCATTAAAGTCCAATGAGAAGTGCTGAATTCCTTTCCTGACAAACCTGACTATAATTGGTATTGCATTTTGTATGTTCTTTGTTTTCGTCCAATTCAGACTTAATTGTGGAATGCCTTCTGAATTCTGAAACAAAGGTCATAGTGATGTGATATCACTTCACACTTGATTAATAATTATTAAACATTTGATTTATTGAAGCATGATTCTTCTTTGATTTCTTCTTTCCCATCTTCTGGATTCCCTCCCTCCTATCTGTTTTAACAGAGATTGTGTATTGTTGCTTCTTTCGCAATGCTCTTGCTGGTGATAACACAAGCAGTTCATAACTAATCCATGAGCATCTTTGGAGGGTTCTAGCTCACAAATTGAGAGTGAGAGACAATTAGAAATATGAAATGATGATTACTTTACTGCTCGGTAAGTTCAGGGATGATGGTCATCAACTTGTCCATGCCAAGCTAGAGTTAGCCAGTATGAGACCTTTTTTCCCTGATTTGAGGTTTCTTCTCCGACAGGATTGTCTTAGTATTGGAAAATGGTTGGTATAGAATTTATCTCAGAATAAGGCTTGTAGAGGATATGACATGGAATGTCTCATTGGTTGTGAAAAAAGGGCAAGTGCTAGAGTGTTTGACAACCAATGAGAAAACCATTAAATTTTTATTGAGACCTAATCATGTCCCGACATTTAATCATATCCCTTGAAACTAATCTAGTGTATATATTATTGGATGATAGCTCATAGTTCTATTTTCTTCCAGCAAAATATTCTAGATAGAGAAATGTTATCAAGTTTAATTAGACAACCAATGCTTTACAGCTATTCTTTAAAAATTTGTAGAACTAATGTTTTATGGATTTGTCTTTCTTTCTATGTTAAATGCAAAAGATTCGTGGCAGAAGTCATTTGTCAATTATTGATGGCCTTACAAACTTGGAGTCTAGTTTAGGAACACACATATAAAGTAGCCAGCTGCGTAATGAGTAACTGCTGCATTTTTTCTCCCCAAAACTAAAGAGAGAAAATAGGGGAACCAGTTGCCAACCTATATCTCCACACCTTGCATCTTTTCTATTAAGCTACTATCCCTCACATTGTAAAGGATCTCGTCTTCGTAATCCTCTAGAAAATTAACTTGTAAATCCATCTGTTCCCACCTTATTTTTCCTTCTCAATTATTATTTCAATCATCTAATAAAATCTGAGAGTAAATTTTGGGCCACTAGGGTCCAACATGTTCACAAGATGGTTGTTGTGGAAATGCAGATATTAAGATGCATATGTGGTCACACAAGATTGGACAAGATTAGAAATGATCACATTCAATTAAAGATAGAAGTAGCACACATTGGGATAAATTGAGAGGATGTTTCAGATGGTTAGGTCATGTCTTACATAGACCTTTATGTGCCTAGTTGTAAATAAGATAATGTTGATGGTGCAAGGTGTTAAAAGTGGTAAAGGTAGACATAGGACCACAAGGAGGGAAGTTGTCTCTAGAGACCTATTACTTTTGGCGTTAATGTTAACTTAGTTACAAAAAAACCAGAGTGGAAGCAAATCATTCATATAGCTGACCCAACTAGTTTCGGATTAAGGCTTGGTTATTATTGTTGTTGAAAAGTGCCATTTAAGTTAAGAGCTTTTGTTTGGTCTGCAATTTGTCTGAAAATGAATCGAAATGATCTTTGCAGGAAAGAAGGCTTAAGAAGTGTTATTTCCTGATACTCTTGTTATTTTTTTAACTTATAAGCATGGTAGGACTCATCCTCACTTGTATCTACATTGTGAAGTGCCTTGGGCAATCACCTTCTTAGCATTTTTAAAATGGTCTATCCAGAATCTCTATAGACTTTTTGTCAGTTAAAACTGAAGATGATTTGTGGAGGGAAAGATGCCAAAATTGTTTGGAATTTTTCTTCTTATGCTAGATTATACTATTTGGATGGAGAAAAATGCATATGTATTCTAGAATCAAGATACTTCTTGTGGTTTATTCTGGTCGTGTTGTGTTTTTGGCTTATGATGTTTATTTTGCTTTTGTTGCTGGTGTTTATTGTGGTACTTTTGGCTTATGATTCCAGAGCTCTTAGAGGAGTCTCTTTGAATGTTATCCAATTTGATCGGAAGGCATTATTTTCCGGCTTGTGTTTATGTGCTTGTTGTTTAGTATCTTTTGAGTTCTGTTGGAAGATTCCTTATCTTCCAAGGGGTACGCTCATGTCTTTCTTTTTCAACATAAATAAATATAAGTTTAATGCTATATATTCATGTCGTTTCTTTTTTTCAGGACATAAATACAATATAAAGTTTAATGCTAGCTTATACTATATAATATATTATATTACCTTCATACCTATTTATAAGCAATATGAATTATAAATAACCAAAAATTATAAATAAAACTAAAAGTTTTTTCTTATTCCAAAATAGCAAAATTTAGATAACAATATAAAGATAAACTCATAGCTTGTGCCATATAACATGTTGATTTTACAAAAAAAAAATGTTTTTTTTTCCACATTTTTTGAAAATACAAAAATTCAATTGGATGAATAAGGAATAAAAAGAAAGGCCTAGCGCCCTATGTCTGAAGGATTTGCATATATATAACAATATGAATTATAAATAACAAAATATATAAAACTAAAAGTTTTTTCTTATCAAAAAGGCAAAATTTAGAGAACAATATAAAATAAACCATAGCTGTGCCTATAACATGTTGATTTTACAAAAAAAATGTTTTTTTTTCACATTTTTAGGAAAAAAAAAATTCAATTGGATGAATAAGAATAAAAAGAAAGCCCTAGCGCCCTATGTCTGAAGGATTTGCAAATCCCTCCTGCTTTGGTGGGGCGACTCTAGGACGAATTTTCAATGGGCTTGGAGAACCTATTGATGATTTTGAAAATAATTGACAACGAGATTCCATCATATAACCATATCCTATATAGCAAAGCGATACTCCAGGTTCTTACAACAAAAGCAAAAGAGAATCATCTTTTCTGATACCTGCTCCTTATTAGTTAATAATCCAATCCTAGTGATTGGATCTATATACTTATTTTGGGAGGAAATGAAACATTTGTGTAATGGGCGCTGTTGATTCTCAACTGGTTATATCTATTATTCAACTGATGACTTGTTTAGAATGGAAAATGGTGAAGCTACAAGTCGATTTCTAATTGTATGAGCATTAGTCACTGAGAACTGAATAATTGCACCAAACAAAATCGTCTAATTCTGTGTAGTCTTTCTATCATTGTTTTTTCATTAAAATTTTTAGTGCAGTCAATTCTGAAGTTATCTTCCTTACATTATGTGCTTATTTTTAGTTTCCACTCTGCTGCCTTTTCTTTATCTTTCTTGGATGATTGATCTTCTTCTATTGGTAGCTCTTTACCATTTGACTGAATTACTTTTATTTGGTCTGGCATTATTCTGTTATTTCTTCTGCTGGTAGCTAGTCCCAAAAGGAAAGAAGAATTTTTAAAGCCATATCTTTCTGTTTTCTCTTTCATTTTCCCCTGTTATAGGAAAAGAAACAAATTTAAGAGAATTATGAACTCTTCTTTTGGCTGAGAAATCGTGGCGGCGCTCATTCCTTGTGGTAATTCTCGGTTATGCTTTCACTGAAGAGGAAAAGAAAGAAGCAATTACTCCTCTCATCCCCTCTTAGTTGTTATTTTTTCTGTGTTTTCTGTTTGGAGGGGGCATTATTTTTCTTTTTCTCTATTTTTTGAAGGCTCAGAAACTCTCATATAGCCTTTTATATTGAACTCTTATTTTAAGTTGTCCCCTTCCTAATCTTGTGCTTGTTCCTCTCCAGGTAGGTTACCTTTCTGCTTCCATAAGATCAGTAGCAGATGCCAGGGTGGGTGACACTATTACACACTACAATAGAAAGGCAGAAATCTCACTACCTGGATACAAGGAAGCCACTCCAATGGTGTTCTGTGGCCTGTTTCCAGTTGATGCAGACCGGTACTGACATTTTGTTTTCCAAATTGGTTCTTTAAGCTAATTTTTTGGTAATTTCTGCACATTGATGTCTTTGGAATTATTTATCTTTCTATATCTCGCTGTTAGGTTTCCTGAGCTACGTGATGCATTGGAAAAACTTCAGCTCAATGATGCTGCATTAAAGGTATATTAATTTGTAGGTGTACATACTGCATTAAAGGTAATTCAGGTTAATGCTCTTTTGGAAAATGGGATAATTATATATAAATTCCTTGAATCTTAGTCACTTTGTGGCAGAGCTTTCATACCTTTTGAATGTTAGTCAATCTTGCTAAAATATAACTATATATATTAGACAAGACTGTAGAATTTAGAGAATGTTTGAAGCTTTGCTTGATTATTTCCTCAAGCATGTAGGGTTTAAATAGAAACAGGAATCACTACAAATATGGTAATATGGTAATACAATCTTTACAAATCCTAATCATAATCATAGAATCACAGCTATAACTCTAGGATCTCTAGGATATATTCTGCCAATGTCATGGCTCGATATTCCGCTTCTACATTTGATCTGGCCATAACATCCTGCTTTTTAGTTTTGTAAGATATTAGATTCCCTCCAATCATAACACAGTAGCATGAAGTAGATTGTCTGTCAGATGGAGAGCCTGTTCAATTTGCATAAGAGTAGCCAACTACTTGTGTATGACCTTTGTCTTCATTAAGTCTTGCCCAGGGGTATGTTTGATATACCTCAGAATGCGAACAACATCCCAATGGCTATCACGCGAAGATTGGAGAAATTGACTAATCACACTTCGTGCAAACGAAATACCTGTTGTGATTGTGAGATAATTAAGCTTACCAACAAGTCTTCTGTATCAAACATGATCTTTAAATGGTTCGTCCTTTCCCCAAACAAGTTTCACATTGGGATCCATAAGAGTATCCACAGGCTTGCAATTTATCATGCTAGTCTCTTCCAATATATCTAGTGCCTATTTCCTCTGTGAAATCGCAACACGTGTGTTGGATTGTGCTACCTCTATCTCCAAAAAGTATTTTGTTTTTCCCAATTCTTTTGTTTGGAATAGGCTAAGTAAAGGTTCCTTAAGTTGGGAGATCCTTTTATGATCATTACCTGTTATGACAATATCATCAAAATAGACCACTAAGTAAGTGCATTTACCATGGTCTCCATGTCGATAAAAAAATGAATAATTAGCTTCACTTCGAATCATGCCAATTGTTGAACAACAACACTAAATCTTCCAAACCCACATGGAGATTTTTTCAAACTATATAGAGATTGACGTAGTTGACATACCAAACTAGACCCCCTTGAGCAACAAAACCAAGTGGTTGCTCCATATATACTTCCTCAGCCAATTCTCCATGAAGGAAAGTATTTTTAATATCAAGTTGACGAAAGGATATAAATCTTTGCCAATGATTGATAGCTGCCAGACAGAGAGAGAAGTCGGACATAAGCAATCTTTGCCATTGGTGAAAAAGTATCACTTTAGTCAAGGATATAAATCTGTGTGTACCCCTTGGCTACAAGCCTAGCTTTCAAACGGTCAATTTTTCCATCAGGATTAGCTTTGACAGTGTAAAGCCATCGACACCGAAGGGTACTTCTGCCATGAGGCAATGAAACAAGTTCTGAAGTGCTATTATTGTGAAAAGCAATCATCTCTTCAGTCATACCTGTGGACCAACTAGGATGTGCAAGTGCTTCATTGACATTCTTAGGTATAGAAACAACAGACAAGGTGGGAACAAAAGCATAATAGGAAGGAGATAAATGATTATAACTCAAGAAATTGTAAATAGGATGAGGGTTTGAGTGGAACGAATACCTTTTCAAAGAGTAATGGGAGGGGTAGCTGCCTCTGTGATTGGCACGACCGGTGTAGGAGGTGAGATTGACGTAGAAGATGAGTCACTAGGTTGTGTACCTGTATCCAAAACAAGGTCAATAGTAGGACAATAAGAATAGACTTGAAGAGGTCAAGATGTGGCTGGATTTGGAAAAATAGGGATAGGAAGGACTTCAAAATTGAGTTTTGATGAGTTGATTGATTTAGAAAGTAATGAGTAGTCTTGACAAAGGTTACATCTGCAGAGACAAAAAAATTTACAGGAAATAGGGTCCTAGCATTGGTATCCTTTTTGTAAACGAAAATAACCTAAGAAGACACTTAATTGACTTGGGCTGAAGTTATGTCTTTTCTAGGTGTATTGTCGTGAATAAAGCAAGTACAACTAGAGACACGAGGAGGAAGTTGAAATGGATCTTATTTAGGAAATAAAATAGAATGAGGATCTTGATTTTGTCATACAAAAGAAGGCATCCTATTAATAAGAAAACAAGCAGTAAAAACTGCATCCCTTAAAAATGAAGTGGAACATAATTTCAATGAGATGGTGATTTTTTCGTTCGGCAAGTCCATTTTGTTGAGGTGTATATGCACAAGAGGATTGATGAAGGATACCCTAAGAAGACAAACTCGCTAAATGGTTGAGAAAAATATTCTCGAGCATTATCACTAGGTAATTAGTGGAGAGATAGTACAGTCCTTGTGACTCAAATCCAATGTTTCATGAAGGAACGAAATATATAGAGATAGATTGTCATTTTATTAGACAGAAGATTCAGTTAGGTTGTATTGTTACCTTCGTCGTCAATTCGAATGATCAATTGACAAATATTCTTATCAAATCTCTTAGACGTACTTAGATTGAATATATTTGGAACAAGCTCGGAGCATATGATATGTACGCTCCAGCTTGAGGGCAAGTGTTAGAATATATGTTAAAATATATTCTAGAGATTCTAGAGTTAAAAGTTGTGATTCTGTAATTATGATTATGATTATGATTATGTTACCATATTTGTAGTGATTCTTGTTTCTATTTAGACCCTACATGCTTGAGGGAATAATCAAGTAAAGCTTCAAACATTCTCTCTAATTTCTACACTACCCTTTACAATAAAGAATAAACTCCTAAACATACACAATTGCACAAGACCATCGTTTGAAAATTTATAAAACATAAGTTATAGTTTAGTTGGAAACTTTCTTTAAGTCTTCCTATATCAAACTATGTAACATCTTCCAGCTTCTGATTTACAAGACGATTATAGGCGAATAGTCATAGTAAGAATTTGATCCAAATATTTGCTTGATCATTACCACAACAAAGCTTAATGGCTATGTTTGCATGCCATCTCACTTAGTTTGGGGTTTATGCAGAGATAGAATTTGAAGTCTATGGCTTTGAAGGAGATTCAAGGTCAATATAGGATTGAGGACCTTATTCTCATGGTTTTTGGTATACTAGAGTTTAACGTTTGGGTTTTGTAGAAATTAAAGGAAAGAATATGTTTTATTTCTTTCAATTGTGTTATATTTTTCAACCTCTACTCCACTATATATATACAAAAAATTGTTCCAACTAAAAAACATAAGTATATAGTTTAGTGGAAAACATATTCTTTAAGTAGCTTCCTAATCAAAACTAGTGTACAACATCGTCAGCTTCTGATTTACAAGACCTGATTATAGGCGGAATAGTCATATAAGAATTTCGATACCAACATTATTGGCTTGTCATTCCCAACAGCTTAATGGCTATGTTATGCATCCATCTCACTTAGTTTGGTGTTTTATAGCAGAGATAGAAATTTGAAGTCTATGGCTTTGAAGGGAGATTCAAGGTTCAATAGAGGGATGAGACCTCTATTCTCATTGGTTTCTTGGTATAAGCTAGAGTTTTAACTTTAGGTTTTGTAGAAATTAAAGGAAAGGAATATAGTTATTATTTCTTGCAATTGTGTTATATTTTTCAAACCTCTAACTCCCTATATATATACAAAAAAAGAATTGTGAATCCAATATAATAATCTTTACACTAATTAGGAATAAACCTAAACTAGGAAACACAATATTTACTTTAATCACAAAGATTTCAACACTCTCCCTTAAGTTGGTGCATAAATATTACTCATGCCCAACTTGCAAACTAGAGGATGAAACAACTTACTATGCAAACCCTTTGTGAAAACATCAGCTAGTTGCTCTTTTGAAGCTATATATGAGACACTTATAAAACCTTCAACTACCTTCTCTTTTATAAAGTTACGATCAATCTCTATGTGCTTAGTTCGATCATGCTGGACTAGAATGTTCATAATACTGATGGCTGCTTTACTATCACAAAATAAAGATATATTTGTTGTTTACAAATAAAGATATATTTGTTGTTCTCAAACCAACATATTAACTCTATTACACTGTAAATAACTGCAGCAACCATAGAAGTATTCACAGATTCCCAGTGCTATAGGCTCTATATTCAGCTTTCTGACACTAGACCGGTTGCAACAATAGCCTGCTTCTTGTGCTCTCCATGTGACACAGGTTTTCCTCCACAAAAAACAACAAATAACCTGAGGTTGATCTCCTGTCAATCAAGTGAACACAGCCCCAATCCGCATCTGATATAGCCTGTTTTGTTAATAATTGGCGCACCTCGTTTAGAAAATAAAATTTCCTCTACCTGGAGCCTGATTTTAATATCTATTAGAAAATTCCATAGCACTGCTTCATAAGTGAGACTCCTGAGCCGCTTCATCGCATGTACTGACTCACTAAACTATACAGCATAGAGCATATCTTGGTCTGGGTTATGGGCAAGATAAAGTACCCTCCCGAGACCAATCTCTGAATATCTGCCAGAGCGATCAACTGGAACTTCCCAACTCCAGCTATGAAAGCTTATTATGGCTTCAAAGGTGATTCTGCCATGGTTATTAGTCCCAACATAACCAATTTATATAATGGAGCATTAAGGATGTACCTTTTTCTGAGAAAATAAAATTCTCTGAGAAATAAAAATCTCTTTTTCTGACCTAGCAACTTCTATCCCAAGGAAATATCTCAACTTTGCCAAATCCTTGATCTCAAACTCCCTAGCTAACAAATTTCTCAAGTGGTCATTTCTTCTTCATTATTTCCGGTCATCACTATATCATCAACATAAACGATAAGCAATGTGATCTTACTTTCATGATGTTTAATGAACAAAGTACAATCAGCATCGCTCTGAATGTACCCATAAGAAAGCATAGCTTTACTAAACCTTTCGAACCATGCTCTTGGTGATTGTTTCAGCCCATATAATGACTTTTTCAGCTTGCAAACTTTTCCTCTGGTTTTGTCATCATCAAATCCAGGAGGAATCTCCATATACACCTCTTCTTTTAAATCACCCACCATGTAGAAGAAAAGCAAATTTTTTAAACATCAAATTGATGTAACTCCCAAAGTCAAGATGGACTGCGCACAAGACAAACAAAATTTCTTATTAGTGTTCATCTTCGCTACAGGGGGCAAATGCATTTCCTTGATAATCAACTCCATAGGTCTGACTAAAATCTTCTGGCTACGAATCTAGCTTTGATACCTCTCAGTTGAACATCTGCCCTATGTATTCTGTGAAACCCCATTACATCCCAACTGGCTTCTTAATCCATGGTGGAGGAGTTACAAGATCCACATGCTCTCGTTATTTTTGCCAAAGCTCTCAGGTCCTCCTCAACCATTGTAAGCCTTCCATTTGAGTCCTTTGTAATGGCCTCTTGCCCAATTCCTGCGGTATATAAAAAACAGAAAAGAAATAGACAAAACAAAGGCTCTATAGGAAGGGGACAGAAAGCAAGTATAGGAGATTAAATGGAGAGTATGGATGTTTAGATGCTGTTCTTAACTTCCTTTTCGTAAGAGCCAATAGAAATATCAAGGTCATTGTCAGAAGACTGGAATCAAAAGATTAGGATCAGAATAACAGAATTTAAAGAATTAAAGAAGACTCACCAAGTTCTTGTTCTTCTGTATCTTTAGGGACTGAAATTGGAGAGGACGGTTGATCAGAGGTCTCATGCTCCATGGTTGCATCTGTATTAATCCGCCGTGTGTAGGTTTTCAAATCAGGTCTATCCAATCTTCCTAGAGATTTGGGTTGTTGCTCTCTCTTACTATCTATGTCTACAGGAATCTCCCCCTAGAAAGAAATGTCATCCATCACCTCTTTTATCTGATATTTTTCCCCCTAAAGAGGTGACTGGGAAGGAAAATAAGATTCAAACTCCCGAAAGGTAACATCCATACTTCAAACTCCCGAAAGGTAACATCCATACTCATAAAGTATTTCCTAGAAGAAGGATGATAACACTTGTATCCTTTTTGAGTAGTAGAGTAACCAACAAACTCACACTTCAAGGCTCTAGGATCTAATTTGCTTAGACCATTATGATGAACAAAGCAAACACAACCAAAGACACTAGGAGGTACAATATAAGAGTTTTTTCCTTGAAGAACCTCTAATGGAGTTTTAACATTTAACGTACGAAGAGACATACGATTGATAAGGTAAGCAGCAGTAATAGCTTCCCCCAATATGGTTTGGGAAGATTCACAGTGAACATAAAGGACCTAGCTACTTCCAATAAATTTCTATTTTTCCTTTCCGCTACTCCATTTTGAGCACTGTTATTGACACAACTAGTCTGATGTATAATACCATTAGAATCTAAATAGGTACGAAAAATTGCATGCATGTATTCAGTACCATTATCAGTTCTTAGGATTTTAATATGCGCATCAAACTGAGTACAAATCATTTTATGAAAGTTCTGAAAACACGAAAAAACTTCATTTTGGAAAAAACGAAAAAACTTCATTTTTGTTTTCTTCAAATAACCCAAGTCAATCTAGTGCAACAATCAATAAAGCGTCAACAAAAACCATCTTTAACCAGGAAAGGAGAGACAAAGAGAGACAGTTTTAGTAGGACCCCAAACGTCAAAATGAATAGTAGCAAAAGGAATCAAATTCTTATTATTAATTGGAGAATAAGAATGCCTAGTGTGTTTAGCAAGTTCACAAGTATCACATACTAATGAATTAAAATCACATTTAGCAAACAAAGTGGGAAATAAACGTCCTAAAACAGAGAAAGAGGGATATCCTAATCTCCTGTGCCATTGAATAACTTCATGGGAAGGATTTCTGGAAGTTCCTAACAAAGCTTGACTGGTACCCGAATTTGAAAAATGACAAACGTCATCCAACAGATACAGTCCATCACGCAAGCTACACAAGATTACAGTTATCCATGCGCGCAAAAAGCTACCCACTTGCCAATCGTTCTCCCGTGTTCGAAGATCCCTGAAAATATACAATTGAGGTAGGGTAAAAGTATACTTTGCAATAAGTGCTTTTGTTGATTAAGCTAACAGATAACTATCAGATAACAGATTAATAGGAAATCTAGGAAGATGAAGAACAGAGGAGAGTTTAATATTGGAAGTACAGTCAATAGAACCTGTGCCAGCAATTGGTACTAAGGAGTCATCCGCAATGCGAATTTTGTTTGTGCCTTGATACTTAGAATATGTGAGGAAATGTTTTTTAGAGCCTGTTGTATATTTATTTGCTCCTAAATCTATAACCCAAGAGGGTTTTGCAATTTCTGCAAGTAAGGTAAGGAAAGCATTACCTGAATTAACAAAATTAGAGGCTGCAGTCTGGGTTGAGGACGAATCAAGCTGTGACAACAATCGTTTCAGGGACTGAATGTGACACACAATCGTTTCAAGGGACTGATCTCCTTTATCAAGAGAAAAGCTTCCAGCAGTAGATGGTTCCTCAGATAAAGCTCCACTATCAGATATGTGTGCCTGTGGTCTAGAAGAACTGACCCGCTTTCCTTAACGTCCCTTAGTTGGGCGTCCATGTAGTTTCCATCAGAACTCCTTAGTGTGCTTGTTCTTACCGCAATAGTCACAAAATAATTGATCTCTATCTGAAGAACGGCTCTTTTCTCTTGTAGAATTAGCAATCAACCCTGATTTGTCAATGGTAGATCTGTGAACCATAGCGTTCCTCCTAGTCTCCTCTTGTTGTGCAAATGAGTATGCTTGTCGTAAGGATGGAAAAGGATCTCGTCCAAAGGATCTCGTCCAAGAACTTGCGTCCAAGAACTTGGACTCGAATCTGATCAGACTCGTTATTTAGGCCAGCCAGAAAATCATACACATTCTACTTCAATCAACTTCTGAACTTGAGTCGCATCATCAGTACATCTTTGCTTGAAAGTCTTGATAATAATCCAGTTCTTGCCATAACCCACCAAGTTCAGCAAAATACTGAGCGATTGTCAGATCTCCCTGCTTGGTTTCATGAACTTTCTGTCGCAATTCATACCTCTGAGCATAGTTTCCAGTTTGTGAATACGTCTGTGAAGCAGAATCCCATATCTTCTTAGTTGTATCAAGAAGCAAATATCCTCGGGAAATAGTTGGCTGCATGGAATTTATTAACCAAGACATAATAAGAGAATTCTCGATAAGGTTTATATGGTGGATTTTCCTATATACTGTAGTTAATGTTAGCCGGATCCTGTCACGAAAGGGTTAAGTTGCCCACCATCAGGAGCTTCAATGAATAATAAACAAGACCGAGACCAAGCCAGGTAGTTTGTTCCATCTAACTTCACCGGACTAATCTGAAGTGAGGGGCTCTTTGAGAGAAAAACCATATCTACTTTCTTTCCGTCAACCATATCTTAAAAAAAAAAAAAATTAAACGGCAGGAGCGATAAAAAAGGCAGCAGCGGTAAAAGGCAGCAGCAGTGGTGGAAAGGGAAAAAATTCCAAAAAAGGCAAAAACTGGTGCTGAAGAACCAGTAGATCTGAGTCGCCACACCGAGTCGAGGTCGCCGGAACAAGAATCGTTGACGGAGCTCGCTGGAAACAACCGCAGGCGCCGGTCTCAGACCACTTTGCAAATTGAAACTGTCGCCAAAAAATTCACAGCAATGGCTCTGATACCATGTAGAAATTACAGGAAAGAATATGTTTTATTTCTTTCAATTGTGTTATATTTTTCAACCTCTACTCCACTATATATATACAAAAAATTGTTTCAATATAGGAAGCAATCTAAATAGGAATAAACCTAAACTAGGAAATACAATCTTTACACTAATTAGGAATAAACCTAAACTAGGAAACACAATGTTTACTTTAAAACACAAATGTTGTAGCTTTAATCACAAAGATTTGCAACAGGATTAATAGGATAACTAATATTGAGGAAAAGAAATCTATGTAAAGCAACCAATGGACCACACTTCTTGGCATATTTTTTTTTTTTCTTTCTTTCCTTGTCATGTCAGAATGCCTTACAATTCTTTAATTTATTTTTATAAAGAAACTTAGGTCTTTACGTGTACTGTGTATTCCTTCTTTTGTCAGCAATCTAAATAGGAATAAACCTAAACTAGGAAATACAATCTTTACACTAATTAGGAATAAACCTAAACTAGGAAACACAATGTTTACTTTAATCACAAAGATTTCAACAGGTTTAAATGTAACAATATTGAGGAAAAGAATCTATGTAAAGCAACCAATCCAACTTTGGATTTTTTTTTTCTTCTTCTTTCAGTCAGATGCCTTACAATTTTTTATTTATTTATAAAGAAACTAGGTTTTTCTGTACTTGTATCTTTTTGCTTTTTTCATCTTGCATAGTTCTATCTTGCATGCTCCTACTTAATAGAGTCGTACCAACTTTTGCATTGTTTTTTCTTTTTCCCCCCTTCTAAAAAAGGATTTCTTATTTATCTCAAATAAAAGTATAAACTGATATTCGTATGTTACTGAATTTAGAATTGCTTCTCCTTTTTGTGCGTTAATTTTGCAGTTTGAGCCTGAAACATCAAGTGCCATGGGTTTTGGTTTTAGGTGTGGGTTCTTAGGTCTTCTCCATATGGAAATTGTTCAGGTTTGATTTATTGGAGCTGCCTTTAATTCTGTTTAATCTATGGAAAACTAAAACTAACCCTGAAAATTTTGACTATGCAGGAAAGGCTTGAGAGGGAATACAATCTGAGCTTAATAACTACCGCTCCAAGTGTTGTATACAGAGTGAACTGCGTAAACGGTGATATTGTAATTTCCACTTCCTCAACTCTATTCATTATTGATCCAAGAAGAATAAATGGATTTGATTCCTGAGATATGAGTTTTCACTGTTTATACGTGATGAAAGTTGGCATATATTGACCAAGAAACAAAGCTTCTTCATTCTATCTCTTATATTATTTCCAAACTTCATTTTTGCAGCATCAAAATGAATTATCAATAAAATGGATGATCAATAGTACTAATCACTAATGATAGTGATCAAAAGTGCTGGTAATAGTACAAATTTTTTTGTTATTTTTTGATATAAAAACTGATAGTAGTTATTATCATATAATGACGACAATAATTATTGTAACATGTACACTGAAAATACGTGTTACTGCTTTAGAATAATAGACTTCCAATAATATTCTATAATGGCAACAATATTCTGTAATCTTAAGTTTGTCAATTTGTGATGCAGTTTTCCTTCAACATTTACAGAATAATGACAACCGTGTTTAGAAATTCATGTTATCATTTAACTTATGCTAACATTGCTTATTATGGCAATAATATTCTGCAATCTTAAGTTCGTCAATTTGTGATGTGTTTCTCCTTCAACAATTACAGAATAATAACAGCCATGCGTTCTCTCAAAATTTGTGTTATCATTTAACTTATGTTAACATTGCTTTAGTTCTTTGATCATGTTTCTGCTGTTGTCTTGATGATTACATATGCTTGTTCTAGCCAACTAATTGTCCAACTTATCTCTCATCATAATCTTTTGCTTACAACAAGAATTTTCTTGAAGGTTGAGTGCTCAAATCCATCTTTACTTCCTGAACCAGGAAAAAGGACATCAATTGAGGAGCCATTTGTGAAGGTCTTTCCATTATACATGAGATATTATCTAGCCTTATAATTCCTTTTCAGTCACATAAAATACATATAATTTTATTCTGGGCTTTATGTAAACACCAAACAGATTGAAATGCTTACTCCAAAAGATTATATTGGTCCACTTATGGAGCTTGCTCAAGATAGAAGAGGAGATTTTAAAGAAATGAAATTTATAACCGAGAGTAGAGCATCTCTTACATATGAATTACCCCTGGCTGAGGTAACGGTTGGCTTTGTAGTCCTCTTTGTCAAATTCCTCAAAAGTCACTGGATTAGGCTTGTTTTTAGTATCATATTACAATTTATTCTTTTCACTCAGTTTTTGGCTTATTGATTTCACAGATGGTAGGTGATTTCTTTGACCAGCTGAAGTCCAGGAGTAAAGGATATGCTAGCATGGAATATACTTTTGTTGGGTAAGTTTCAATTTGTTTTGTAAAAAGAAGAGCTTAGGCGTAATGTTCACATGTGGGAATGTTTGCATGTTCTAGTAATCGTTAGCGACCATGTGTAAAAACATAAAAGGATTAAACAATGTGTCTTGATGGTCCATGTCAAATTCCTAATTACTTCAAGTACATACAGAAGACAATAGCGTCACAGAGAAGTCTGAAAGAGAATTATGAAAATATTCCATCTAATCACCAACAATTGAATCACGAAATTTTTTGAAGAATATCACTTGTTAGAATGGTTTAGCAATGAAGAGAATCATTCTGGAGGCCAATGTTCCTTCTGTAGTCGTATAGGATGGATGCATTATAGAGCTTGTGTCTCACTGAAGAGGGCAACATTCCTTTCATAGTAGTATAGGATGGATGCATTATAGAGCTTGTGTCTTACGAAAAAGTAATGAAGAATAAGAATTTGCTCTTTCATCCGATCCTCCGAATCAAATATTAGTGATATTATATCAAGCAACTATTCCTAGGGAAAGAAGCCTCCTCTTCCTAAGTAGCATTTCTCAGAGCTGCTTGTCTTGAAGCAGCTATTCCATAAGCAGACTTAGAACCTGATGAGGAGAAGGTTCATGTAGAAGATAACGCAACTATTATGGATTTAAATTTATTTGTTCTGGTAGAGATTAGAATAAGGTTTCAGCAACATATTAGTTTTTGATTTAATTGGGATTTGAGTACAAAACAAGGACCGTAATCGAATATGTTGCTGGAAATTCTCAGCAAGAAGATTGCAGCTTAACCATGATATTTGGAGGGTTTAATTTGTAGAACTGTGGGGATTTGATCTTTTAACGATAAAAGGGTTTGGCATGTAGTCTCAATTAGAAAGGGTGGAGAGGATTTTATGGGGGTTGCTTGCATTGTCACCAATTTAGGTTACTCGCTGCTTGGCTATGAAAGGACGCAAAGAAAAAGGATTGTCTGTAGCTAAAGTCTCTTACGAAATAGCTAAGCCAAAATTCTCATGCTTTGATATCAAAAGCCAAAGAAGTAGTTGGATTAGTAGCTAATTGCAAAGGCTGATTCACTACACTTTGCAATGTTGCTCAAAATGCGCCAGAGACAAGGTGCAACTGCAAAGTGCCAAGGATGAGGGTTTACGGCCCTAGACAAGTTGCACGCCCCTAGGTGCACTGGTGGTACTTTGTTGCCTTACTTTGGATCTTAAGTTTTATAAATGCCACATTTAAGCTAACATATTTTATGGATTTGATAAAAGCTTTCAGCTGATAGCATCAAATTGTCCCTTGCATTGTTATAAAGTCGAAATAGTCTAGAAAAGCTAAGGGCAGTCAAAGACCCAGCATAGAAGAGGAGAACATGACTTTTCGAAGACAATGAGAAGATAAAAAGTACTTTCTATTTCAGCACTTTGACGCTTGAGAAAGAAAAGAATTTTCTTCTTTTAAGCACTGACATTGTTTTGTGGCATGGATGGAGAGACATTTATGTTTCCTACTATTTCTTAGGCAAATGCTACAAGGTCAACAATTCCACGAGCTTAGGCTTCTGTTGCTGAGATAAAAACATCTCTTTCCATTTCTTCGGATACTAAATTTCTTTTTCTTACTAGTTAACTAGTTGATTTAAATGATAAGAAAAGAAATATACATGGTTTGATAATGTTTTGAGCATAGTTGTGAAGTGCACCTAAGGCATGCCTGACTCGAGGCGCAGGTCCTGGAGCCTCCAGAGCTAAAAGGCTGGCGACCTTACTGAGGTGCGCGCCTTTTAACAAAAGCCCTCGCCTAGGCACAAGCGCAAGCACAAAAAAAGAGCGCCTTTTTTTTTTCAACAGATTTTTTAGGGTTTTTCTTTTTAATATATGTGGTTGTATTTATATAGACTTCTATTAATAAATAAAGTAAGAGAAGTAGAAGATATTCGTAGATTTGCAGAAGAAATAACGTAGATCCACTCTACCTCAAACTCCTCTACACCAGTTCATCGACAATCAAAGAAAGCCCTCAATTAAAGCCTTCACAAAGAAGTCTTCCCTCCAACTCAGCAATTGATTAACATAAAGGAAAGATATGTCTCTCAACTATTCTTTTGATTTTTTCTTAATATCCCTCTCTTAATTTGATTCAACAATCAGCCTATTAATAAAATAAACGTAAGAGAAGTGAAGATATTCGTAGATTTGCAAGAAAAAATACGTAAATCCCATCTACCTCAAACTCTCTAACAACCAGTTCATCGAACAATCAAAGAAGCCTCAATTAAAGCCTTCAACAAAGAAGTCCTTTCCCTCCAACTCAAGCAATTGATTAACATAAAGAAAGATATGTCTCTCAACTATTCTTTTTGATTTTTTTTCTTAATATCCCTCTCTTAATTTGATTCAACAATCAGCTTCTACTCTTCTCTTTCAAGTCTCCCTTCTCTTTCAAGTCCAATAGCTTCATTATAAGCTGTTAAGATGGTGAATTTTTTGCTGATTTGTGTTGCTGAATTGAGGCTAATGGTTATTACTTTTAGTTTAGGGCTGCTGAAATTATTATTTATTTAAAGCTATGCTACAATTCTTAACATCTTATTATGCATTACTTTCAATTATATTTAGATATTCCAAGTATTAAATAGTGTGATTTAAGAATTTATATGTTTTATATTATTAATATGAATGTTTGTTCAATTTTAGAATTATTTTATATTTTTCCAATTTTTTCTTTATTTTTGTGCCTCACCTCACTCAGGTGCGCACCTTTGCCTTGCGCATTGCCCCTAGGTCTAAGACCCCTTTGCCCCTTAGTGCGCCTAGCGCCTTTAACAACTATGGTTTTGAATTGGCAATTCACTACTCATACAGCCTCAAAATTTATGTCGATTAGTGATTATAGTTGAAATAATTAATTCATCTAATACTTAATTTTGAGTTGCAATTGTGGCTGAATGCTTGTTGAGAGGCGAGTTTTTGTTTAAATATTTTTTTTCCAACTGCTATAGTATATTGAGGGTACTCTTCCCTGTTCAAGAAACCTATTTTCCTTTATGTTTCAATTTCTTCCTCAGTTTTACATCACATTAGGATGGATGGCTTGCCGAAAAGAGGTTCTGTTTATGGATCTTGTATTTGTGTGTTTGTGCTGCGTTTTTCAGCCCACAATTTGACATGCTTCCTAACAAATATATGACTTGGAAGGACATACTGTATTAGATAAATACGAGTATAAAACCCCGGCATGATGCGCCGGTTAATTATAATAAATTTTATATTATAGATGTATTTTAAAAATCGTGTTATAAAAATAGAGTATATTATCATTATTTTAATTGTAGTTAAATTAAAATTTTGACTACACATGACTAAAAGTTTTTCATTATATCAAGACATGAAAAAATGAAATGAAAGTAGTACTCTAATGGTGGTGCTTTAATATGAGAACTCTAATGGTGGTGCTTTAATATTAGATAAAAATTAGATTATTTTAATTGTAGTTAAATTAAAATTTTAAATATGCACATGACTAAAAGTTTTTCATTATATCAAGACATGAAAAAATGAAATGAAAGTAGTACTCTAATGGTGGTGCTTTAATATGAGATAAAATTAGTATTGGTTTTGTATTAAAATTAAATGGGCAGTTTTAATTTTAAAAAGTGAAATTTAGGCATTATACTATGTATATTTTTAGAAAATCAACATGTTCCAATCATTTTCTTAATTTTTATAAAATAGGAAATGTTGCTATAAAGTAGAACAAAGAGAGTATTACATAATAGAAGTTCATTTTAAATTTTAAGATTATTATGCTTTACTAAATAAATTAATTTTAAAATTTCACATTCATTCACCCATCCATGATAATTCTAACTAATTAAACTTCTCCTATTCTGCACCAGATTACCAACTTATACTAATTAATGCTACAAATATACATACACACAGATATTTGCAATTAAGCCAATGTTTATGGCAGAAAGTAATTTTAATGGGTAATAAAAGGGCATAGTGCGCAAAACACTGTTATGGCAACAGTGATTTCCCACGCCCTTTAGATATATATAGTAATATAGATAATAATATGCTGTGAATCAAGTTTGATTTTCTGTGTCCAAGTGCTTCAGCATTCAAATTAGATAAACATCCTAGAAATCGAACCTGGCCCATAAAGATATTGTAAAATCTTACTTTTGTCTTATTCCATTTTTTGTGCGTGTGTATTGGATATATAATTGTGATCAAAATGAGAAAACAGTTTCTGGATGTTGAGAGCTTTTTCAGTTTGATACCATATATTAGTGTTTAGCCCTTTATTTTTTCTATGGTTTCAACGGGTTATCTTAAAGGCTTAAGGAAGAGGATGGAAATTCACCAAGAGTTTTGTGTGTGAGTTACAAATATAACTGTCATGTATACTATGCTAAAAAAAAAAAAAATGGAATATGCTTACATAAGTTTGATGAAATCCTTGACTTAAAATGTAAAATGCTCACAAGCCTTATTAATTGTCATCTGATTTGCATTTGATCACTAATGCTTATTTTTAATCCTCTTGCCTCTTAGTGTTGATATGACAAAAAGATCTTGCTTTAACATATTTTCTTCCATCTCTCAGCACTTGTGTTGACCTATTCATCATCAACTTTTGGTTTTGAACGTTCAAGCACTTCATTGCAAAATATTGAAGTTGGTTCACTTTATCAGAATTCCCAAATTGTTTCAGGCATTCCTATTGATATTGTTCCAATAATATATGGTAGCTAAGCAGGGCAACTATCCCATTGACAGCAGACTTGGCCAAATAGGAACCATCCTTGGTATGGGCTTTGCTAAACACAAAACAAACGCTAACCTAATTTGGCAAGGAAGCTGTATTTTAAAGTTGTAAAGGTAGTCAGTTGACTTGATTCTTGAAAAATAAATTTGAAAGGTAGGTGTCCAGTTCTAACGTTCTACTCATCTTTAATAAAGGGAATGTTTGGAATTCCTGCAGCACATTGTTTGAGGCAATCACCATGGTTCTATTTAAAATTTTGTGTGGAAAATAAGTACGATTGTCTGTCATGTTATTGTTCACATGCGATGTGTGCCACAATTCATGTTTTGTTTATCTTTTATATGACATTGACTTCTTAAGCTTTGTGATGTGGTTTATACATAAAGCCTGGAAGACACTGTACATTCATTCTCATTTGATTTGCAGGTACAAGGAAAGTGATTTAATAAAGCTTGACATTCAAATAAATGGTGATCCAGTGGAGCCATTGGCTACTATAGTGCACAAGGACAAGGTTAACCGAACCATTCAACTTAACTGCATGATTTTTTAAAAAGTAATAAGTAAATCTGCGTAGCAAGTATATGAATGCATGTTTATCAGAAACTCGATGGTGGGCTGAGGGAACTTTTTGACTATATGTGTTAAACAAGTATTCTTTTACGTTTCTGGAACCTTTCTTAGTATTTGATAAGCAATAAACAACATTTTCAGCTCTCCTCTGTGAAGCAACGTCTTATTCACATGAAGGATAAAATTATTATAAAATGGAAATTGTTGAAAATGTGATGGTATGATAAAGATGGTATTTGGTAATATTTATGTTAATTTCTCTTTTTCATATTGTTCCAAAATTTTATTTCTCAATAGTTCTTGGCCGAATTCTTTAATGCAGTATTTGGTATTGTACTGAATTGCACAGGCATATTCTGTGGGGAGGGCTTTGACTCAAAAGTTGAAAGAGCTTATACCACGACAAATGTTTAAAGTTCCTATCCAAGTAAGTTTCTTATTTTCTTTTAGCAGTTGATGCCACAACAATGATTGTTATCTAAGATTCCTGTTGCATGATCTGCCAAAATTTATTTTTCTCAAGGATATTGCTTGAGAATTGAGATTATGACCTTACACCTTTCTCTTTTTTTTTTTTCTTTTTTTCCTTTTATAGAAAGTTATGAACTTGTGATACGTATCTAAGATGAAAAACACAGGCATGTTCTGCCTGTAATCTATTATCATATTCCAATGAGAAATTTTTTAAAGCAAGGAGCATCACTAGTCAACTCATAGTCTGTTAACTGTTCTTTTGAAGAGAGAACGGATAGCAATCCCAAAATGGAAAATGATGAGAAAAGAAAGAGGGTTACAAGGTATAGTGGTAGCCAAACTAAAATGGCAGGCCATATTAAAGTAAGGTGTGCCCATTAACCATAAAAGCCCAAATATGATTGATTTGCTAAAATGTAAAATGGACACTCCCTCAGGTCTGTCGATGCTAAAACCCAGTATGTTTAGTTACAGAATTCTGTTAGTTCTAAGCTGAGCATGTGGGCATTATATTCATGTGGTCAAGAGCTTCTGAGATCTGCAGAATGTTAAATGCATACTTTATATTTGTTGCTTATGGAAAGGAAACTTTGGACATGTATTGCGTTCAGATCAGGAAAGCTTGATTCTATCACATGCATTCTACCAGTTCTGTTTTGATTCAATAATTTTTGTTTATATGTTCTAAGCGTCTACCATTTTGTGGACTAGACATCTCAAAGCGCATAATTAACTCTTATCTCTAATCTGTACAGGCATGTATAGGAGCAAAAGTTATTGCTAGTGAATCCTTGTCAGCAATTAGAAAGGATGTTTTGGCCAAATGTTATGGTAAGATATACAACTACAGTGATATTTAGGTTTTTTTTTTTTTTTTTTTTTTTTTTTTTTTTTTTTTTTTTTTTTTTTTAGGTTTTTTTTTTTTTTTTTTTTTTTTTTTTTTTTTTTTTTTTTTTTTTTTTTTTTTTTTGCAAAGAACTGGACAACACAATACAAGTCTTGACAAGTATTGTCCTGGCTTGTATATCATCTCCAAAATGTAGTAATTGGTAGAACATAACTACATAAGACGATTAGTAAAATGCCGCATAGGTACTAAGGTTGTGTTTTGTAAACAGAATGGAATTAATTGGAACGGGAATAGGAATTCCTATACCTATTCCTATGTTTGCTATGCAACATGGAATGGGAATTTAGATTCTGTTTATTTGTTTGGTTATAGGAATAGGGGGAGGAATGGAATGGAGAATCACTAGGAAGGCCAAATGTCCATAAATTTTAATTTTACTATAATCTAATTTATTTCAATAAAAATATATGAAATTGTTAAAAAAAACTTAATTTTCAATGACAGACTTCTAATTTTTTTGCTGTTACTTTACATTTTCTTCTAGCTTATTTTCTGCTACTTTATTTTTTATTTTTCAGTGCAGATAAATTTATAAAATTATATGATCTTCAAAATTATTTTTTATGAGGTTATTATTATTTTAAATGATAATGAAGTTTATTAGTTAGCATTTTTTGAAAAAATATTTAATAATGAGAAATTGTTTATTGTGTTAGTTATTTTCTTTTACAAAAAAAAAGTCGAAAAGCATTTTTATTAATCAACCCATTTAATCTATTATTAGTATGGTTGCTTACAATGAAAATGTCCATTTTTATAAAAATAATATTGAATTATTAGTTGAATACAATTACACATAGAGAACTAAAATATTTGGGAAAAATTAGAAGGGCAATATTTGGTATTTTTTGAAATAGAAAGGGTATATTTGGTCTTTTGAGTTCCTATTTCTACTCTATTACTATTTCACTTAGGAATTCCTATTTCTACTCTATTCCCTTCCTATTCTTATTCGCTTCCTCCCCTCCCCCCCCCCCCCCCCCCCCCCCCCCCCCCCCCCCCCCCCCTCGGGCGGGTGCGTCCCAGCTCACTTATACTAGTGAACAATAGAATGGGGAGTTGGCTTTCCATTCCTAATTTTTACTTTTATATGTATCAATGTTAGTGCTTGATATTTAGGAAAAAATAAAAAAAGCTAAGAAAATATTGAACCAACTACAACCAATTTTTTAATTATTTTTACTTAAACCTCATTTTTTAAGTTAAAAACATATATTTATGATTAATTAATTTCAAGATTTTATTTTGGTAACATTATCCAAAGTTTAAACTTTTACTAATATATCATCAAATTTGAAGGTTTTAATATTTAATCACTTTGATCCAAAATTTGAAAAGTCGTCAAATTTAATTGTCTCATTTTAATTTTGATGATGTTGGTTCAAAGGTCAGACTTTACAAAGTCAATTGATTTTGATAACATTGGCTCAAAATTCAAAACCCTTACCAATGCATTGTTTGATTTCATTTTTTTCCAAAGGACCTCGTTGTCTCTCTTGCTCCCCTCTATTATTACAAGTGGATTCTTCTTCTCCCATTCTATTTTTCCCTCTTGGATGATTTTGTTATTCTATTGAAACTACTATAATGCTTATGCTAAAAGATCACAAGATAGAGAATTATGCTTTTTAGTGTATATCATGAACTATTTTTGCCTTCTTTTTAGGTGGGGACATTTCAAGGAAGAAGAAGTTACTCAAGAAACAGGTATGCTAGTTTCCAAGATTTTAGTGATATATTTACATACGTTGAGAGAATATATTGTAATTGTATTTCTTGTATCTCATCAATCGATTACATAGGTTTATATATAAGGAATTCCTATGCTACCTAGCTATTTAGGAATATTAGGAAAACACAATCATCGATAACTAATTTAAGGCGAATTTAATCTCTATATAGAACTGCTATTGTACAACTAATCCTTAACAACTCCCCCTCAAGTTGGAGCATGAGATGTTTAATGCATGCTCAACTGTTACAAACTACTACTTTCAGGCAAAGCACAATACCATACTCAGCCATTGACACTCAATTTATAGCAAGGTATATGAATCCCAAACCAAAGAGTAGCCAGCCAGATTAATTAAGACAACTACACTTAGGGTGTCTGGATACAAATCTCACTAAACCCAGAAAACAGAGCTCTACAACGGCTAGGTTTCAAGCTTTCCATAATCAATTGCCTTAAAGGAGGAAGCCCATATAGCGTAGATGACTTCCGAAACGCCAGCAAAGGAAAATCTGGCAAAGGCGGGAGCACACCAGCTGGAAGGGCAAGAACACAGATGCGAGATTCACGTGGGGTTGCACTGACCTCTTCGTTGGACAAAGGAGAAGGTTCAATCAGCATGAAAGTAGCCCTGTACTGCATGCAAAAGGATGCTAGTACTAAACCCTATGCAAACAGGCAATCACGATAGGCAATATCACCTGAAACATTACCCGTAAACCTAATTGTCAACAGCAAAGGAAAATATGTTTCTCAGCAAATTAAAGCAACAACAGTAGCAGAGGACTGGCCCGACAGGCGAGCTGCAATTAGATTGCAGCAAAACAACCTATGAATAAGCGCCAAGAGGACGATGCAACTTCAAATGACGATGCAACTCACTGGGTTGCACGTTTCTCTTCAAGCCAACGTCGGAGAGAGGAACTGGAGTGAAAAAGACCATTGGACATGCGCCAGCACGTGAACCAGAGCAGGGACAAAGAGGTGGCGAGTGTTGGCTATTCGCTTGGAATCCGGCGACCGAATTCTGGGGAGTCGCTGATCGGCGGCTAGAGAATATCCTGGGTTGGGCGGTGAGGCAAAATACTAACCCTAGTAAGGCTTCCTAGGGTGGCAGTGGCTTCTCGTATGGGAAGTTTTGGGAAATTTCTTTTTTTTTTTTTTTTTTTTTTTTTTTTTTTTTTTTTTTTTTTTTTTTTTTTTTTTTTTTGAATGGAAGGCTCTGATACCATATTGAGAGAATATATTGTAATTGTATTTCTTGTGTCTCATCAATTGATTACATAGGTCTATATATAAGGAATTCCTATGCTACCTAGCTATTTAGGAATACAAATCATAAACTAATTAGGAATCTAAGTCCTAATAGAATTCTATTTACAACTAATCCTTAACAACATAAATGATGAAATGAGAAAGGTTGTTATTTGATTCTATGCAACAATGGTAGGCTTTGCAAATATCAATTGGAACTGAAAATTTATAAGGAGGCCCATGTTTCATTTATTTAAGAAGTGACATTTCTTGTTCCTCACTCTATTTTCTGTTATACTGAACCTGGAAACTTCACAGTTCATTGAATCTGAGGGCAAAATTGGTTGCCTGAAGAAATGAAGGAAAATGAATAGACTACAATTTAGTTTGCCAAATGAAATGAAGCATGGTCGTCTTAATCAGTGAACTGCATTTGATGAGATGCTATAATGAGCTGTTAAATAGGGTTACACAGTTTACATTTTTGGTTAGAAGCAATTGGCATATGGTCAAGGGCGGTGCTACATGCAATTGAAGGGGGTCAAGTTGCCCTTTTGTCTTTGAAAAAAAGTAAATAATTTCCTCCGCTTTTCAATGGGCTTGAACCCTGGACAAATAAGAAATTTTATGCTGTGTTAACCAATTTGCTCCCCTTCAATTTTCTGTTTAGGAGGTGGTTGCCCCCCTACAATTTTGTGTTGAGGAGTTTGCCCCCCTTCTACTTAATTCCTAGGTCTGCCTCTACATCTGGTCTGGCTGTTATCCAAGAAATATAAGCCTCTAACAACTCATTTTGAGTTTAAGGATGAGTTAGAATTTTCCTGTCCATCATTAGTAAAGTTTTGGAAAATTGGTCCCAGTTTAACATTGTTTATAGGATATAATTGAACATAATAAAATCAATCAAATAAAAGTTCATTTTAATTATGAACTTAAAATTGTCCTATTAGATCATATTACATTCTTGTTGTCCCATAGCAGTCCAAGAGGGGAGTGAATTGGGTTAATTAAACTTTTTGAGGAAAGCTTGGCAAATTAAGATAAATTGGAAATTAAGAAAATGAAGAAGGTAGAATTAAAGAAGATAGAATTTATAGAGGTTCAACTATCCTAAGCCTACTCGCTTACTCTCCTCAAGGCCCTCCTTGAGAGTTTCAATCCACTAATAACTTATTCTTTGGGTGAAAACAAACCCTTACAGTATTCAAATGCAAATCCTTGCACTTAACCAACACGATCTCACAAATGTTTATTAAATACACTCACAATTAGTTTCTTACTCAATTACTACAACAATTCATTCTTGATCTCTATCCAACAATAAATTCCCACAATAAAAGTGTTGAGAGATTATATTGTAATTGTATTTCTTGTTTCTCATCAATTGATTACATAGGTCTATATATAAGGAATTCTTATGCTACCTAGCTATTTAGGAAGCAAATCTGGTAAACTAATTAGGAATTTAACTCCTAAATCAGAACTCTATTAACCAACTAACCTTAACCTCTCCCCTCAAGTTGGAGCATAGATATTGAATCATGCTCCTTGTTACAAACATACTTTTCAGAAAGCAAATACCATACTCAATACAACTGTACCCACTTCATTATAGCAATATAGAATCCTGACCAAAAGTAGTAGGGCAGAAGATATTTAAAGACGAGGACAACTTAGGTTGTCGAAACAAATCTCACTGAACCAGAAAACAACTCACAGGGCTGTTTCAAGCTTCCATAATCAATGCCCCAAAGAGGAAGCCCAGTAGCGCAGATATTCAGAAACGCAGCAAAGAAAAATCTGGCAAATGGAGCGCACCACTGAAGGCCAGGAACACAATGCAACTCATTGGGGTTGTACTGCTCTCGACAAAGGAGAAGGTTCAAAGCAGAATACCCATAACTGTAGAGCAAAGGTGTAGTACCAAACCCTAATGCAATAAGGAATCACTAGAAAATGACCAAAAAATACCAAAAACAATTGTCACAACAAGGGAAAAGTTGTCACAGCAAAGGAAAAATATGTTTCCTCAGCAAATTAAAGCAACAACAGTAGCAGAGGACTGCCCGACACAGCTGCAACAGAATCGCAGCAAACAAACTTATTGAATAAGCCCAAGAATGACGATGCAACTCATTGGGTTGCACGTCTTTCTTCAAGCCAACGTCGGAGAGAGGAACCGGAGTGAAAAAGACCATTGGACATGCGCCAGCGCATGAACCAGAGCAGGATGAAAGAGGTGGCGAGTGGTGGCAATTCGCTTGGAATCCGGCGACCGGATTCTGGGAAGTCGCTGATCGGCGGCTGGAGAATATCCTGGGATGGGCAGTGAGGCAAAATACTAACCCTAGAAAGGTTTCCTAGGGTGGCAGTGGCTTCTCATAAGGGAAGTTTCGGGAAATTTTTTTTGTTTTTTTGTTTTTTTATTTGTGAATAGAAGGCTCTGATACCATGTTGAGAGATTATATTGTAATTGTATTTCTTGTATCTCATCAATCGATTACATAGGTCTATATATAAGGAATTCCTACGATTACATAAGGTTTCTATATATAAGGAAAAATTTTCCCCCCCCCTAAATAAGAAAAATGCCCGGCCTAACTAGCCTAATTATATAAGGAATTCCTATGCTACCTAGCTATTTAGGAATACAAATCATAAACTAATTAGGAATCTAATTCCTAATAGAACTCTATTTATAACTAATCCTTAACAGAAAGCTACCACATTCAATTGGTTGATATAACTCAAAGTTCTGGAGACAGAGAAAGAGAGAATGAAAACAATGAGAAAACTGAATTAATCTATTTTGGAATAATGTTGTTAACCTTTCTAAGTTGATTAAGACACTTATTGACAGTCTAAAGTCAGGTTAGGCAGTCTAAAGTCATTTTGGGCCTCGTAGAGTCTGAAGCTGAAAAATGGTTAGTTTAAAAATTGACTTTAGGCAGCCTAAAGTGGCCGAACTGAACAACATTTAGCTGATGCCTGCTGCCTAAACTGCTCTTTTTAGGCAGTCTAAAGTGCAGCCTAAACTCCTTAAAAAATCCATTACTTTTGTTAGAAAATTCTGTTTTCAAAACCATTTGAACCGTTGGAAAATATAGTTAAACGACCTTCCAAAAACATGAATTTTTATGATAATACTACTCCAAACAAAACTTCATTTCCAATAATATTTTTCATATGTAAATTTAATATTTTCCAAACGTCTTTGTACAAAGCTCAATTTGATATCCAAAACCAATATTAAATTCCAATTTAAAAGGTAATTGACTCTAAAATATTTTTAAAATAAAAGTTTTAAGATCATGAAATATATTCAAAGAAATTCACAGAATAGAGTCGATCAATTAATTGAGAGCAATAGACCTTAGGATAAAACCATTTTGTCCAACACATTCCATTATATCTAGGGAACATGCATTTGTTTGTTTACTTGTAAGAAAACTGGGTGACCAATATAAATTGGTGTGTTGAATACAAACAGAGAACTTTGAAAACCAAAAAAAGTCTTTATGATTTGTTCCGATCCTATATCTGTATCTTATATTAGAAATAAGTTATGTCTGGCCTTGACGTTACTTGCTAAAACTTAAAAATTTGAGTAGGAGATGACCATTCAATAACTTATAGACTACATATTTTTGGGCAACAAGGAGTAATATTTCCCTGGTCTGCTCTAATTCTCATCCAAAAATGAAAATCACTTCTGTAAGCCGCACAGTGACAATTGGTACATAAGAGGTTGGTTTTTGCTGATGATACTTGTTTAATTTGGGAGTACATGTATGAAAATACATAGGCACCAAATGATTTTTGCTATCAGTTCAAATAATATTTATTTGTTTATTGTTTTTGAGAAATGGTAGGACAGATAGCTCAATTAAAAACCAAATTTCAGAACTTTAATCACATACATTTTATACCATCAGGAGGTCTATTTAGCATCCATTTATTACATCTGTGTATTCCCTGATCAATTTTGTTGTAACCTTCCCGTATCAATTATTTCCTGCATATATCAAACGCCCTGGAAAATATCTTTATTGATTTCAGGTTTTCTATAATTTTTTGTCATGCCTTTTCCCTTTTCAGGCTGAAGGGAAGAAGAGAATGAAATCAATAGGTAAGGTAGATGTACCTCAAGAAGCTTTCATGGCTGTATTGAAACTTGAAAAGGAGGTATTATAATCAATTATGTTACTTCCCATCTGGCTTTTAGATAATTACTTCTAGTTATGCAATTGAAATTTGAATTTTGTTGTATATTTTATTTTCCCTTTATAGTGGTCATAGCTGATATAGGCCATGCCATGTTGCCAAATCCATTGTCGTGTAGTTGTCGACATTTGGATCAAAATTATGTATTATATCCAATCAAGTTTTGCAACATGGCTTATAAACTTTCCCCCCTTTCACCCAAAACCGCTAAATCATTGCAGGAAAAGAAGTTGCAAATGGTTTTTATGGATGGAAGTTTTATTCATGTTTCTTTTTTTTTTTTTTTTTTTTTTGTGTATATTATGGATGGAGTTTTTTTCATGGATTTCTTTTTTTTTTTGTTTTTTTTTTTTTGGTTTCCTGTCCGCATACTGGAACAATGTTCGTATTATGGAAAAAACATGACAACACAACAAACAAGCACTTAGTGGTTTTCAGCGCACCACACTTTCTCTCTAAGTATCAAACAGAATAGAAAGATATAGATTTTATTTTAATAGAGCTTTTATTTGTAAATTGGGAAACTTGATAAGAGTACAATACTTTCAATCTTTTATTAATTATTTTGTCTCAAATTCACGTCGTTTTAATAAGATATTACAGATAGAATAAAGTGGAGTTTCTTTTTTATTTTTTTTTTGTCTTTTAGCTTTTACTCTTATATCTATTTAGAATACTGCTCAATTTTACAATTTCTCAAACATCCTTTTAGTCAATTATGTATGAAAGTTTTTTTTTTTTTTTTTGTCTTTTAGCTTTACTCTTATATTATATTAGATACTAGCTATTTTTACAATTTTCTAAAACCATCTTTAGTCAAATTAATGATATGAGATGAAAGGTATTTTAGTTAAATTAGTGATCACTTTGTTATAATGCAGTAGAATTCATTGTTTTCAAATTGCTATGTGAAAAAAAAAATTTAATGATTTATATTTGAAAGGATTTATATTTATGGATGGAGAGCAATTATTATTAGAAGTAAATGATTAGTCATGAGGGAGATTCAGCCAACATGATCAATTTGTGTATTGAACATCAATAACTTTTGAGTAATTGCTCCTAGAGTCAAATTTAATATGACACTAGAGCTTGGTTAACTGTTGCAAGAGGCATGTATCGGGTGGGCCAGTGTTGAGGCCTATGTTTTACTTGTGTCGGACGATGGACTAACAGACAATTATCATGTGGGTATGATCACAGCTCGGTTCTGAATCAAAATTCAAATGAAACTGAATTGGTTATGAAACTGAATTGGTTATGAAACTGGAATCAGACTTCAAATGTAACTGAATTGGTTAAAATTGGAATCAAACCGTGGTTAATGTTTCAAGTTTTTAAACTGTAATTCAAAACTGATTAATTAAGGCTCGGTTGTGGTTTTTCATATTTGAAAATTAAAGCAGACAATTCCGATTTGAACTGTTTAAAAAAAAAAAAAAAGAAAAAAAAGCCAACCAAACATTGATTTTTAACTGTTAAAATTAATTTTAATTTTCAAATAATGTAGTAGTTTTACCATCATTTTAAAATTTGTTATATAAATATAATTTGTAAATTGTAAGTGGAAAAAGAATGCTCATTTAAATATTTTTAATTTAAATTTTTACACTTTACACTATATTTTTTACATATAAATTATATAACATTCATTTAAGAATTATTTTTTAAAACTCAAATAACATAAAAAGGCTTTTTTCTCCTTTTACGAGGGTAAGAAAACTGGAATTTGAACGGTATTTTTTGCAATAAGAGATTATATTGTAACTTTCTTTTTAACTCTTAATTCTGGTTTGAAACTAAAACCAACGGTTTTAAAATAGTTTTTAAAACTGTTTAAAAGCGGTCGGTTGTAGTTTCATCTTCTTTAAAATCGAAATCGACAATTTTGAAATTGAAAATTAGCGGTTTTGGAACAGTGTTCATTTCTAATTTGAGGTGTGTTAACATACTTCATGTGATTAGTTGGCTGAATATAAAAGCTTACCATGAACCTTTTGCAAAAAAATTCTGTAGTAATATAAATTTTATCAGTGATTTATCGTATCTTAAAATTAGGTATTTTGGTCACATTATATATATATATATATATTTCATGCTAGTAATAATTTTAAGTTTTGTTGGCTTTATGCATGAAATATTGATTCTATGTATGGTTAACACATTTTTCAAAACAATAATTTTCATATTTTTTTAATTGTCAAACTTAATCGTTCTAATTTTATGAATTGGAGAGCTCAATAAAATGATTTTGCAAGTTGAAGTGTGTTCTAAAGGTCAAAGTAAAAAGTTGATAATATCCTAAAGTTCTTTTGAAAAATATATTTAACATTGGTTCATTACAACAACTAGAATTAAATGATGTATAATGAGGTTTGCACCATTTCATGTTAAAGATAAGTTCAATTTATTGTAAATAGAATTATCAATTAAATGATGCTTCTTTTGTTCCGTTAATTTTGACACTTTAAATTTTCACAAAGAAATAAAAAAAATGAATGAATCACATGAAAAAATAAGGGTAATTAACTAAAGTAGCCTCATCATGAGCCTGACTCATTGCACTTAGTTTGACAATTATAACCTTGACAAAGTTTGAAGAAAAATTATAACCTTGACAATTATATGCTTGCATTATGGATTCGGTTTCCTGAATTTTTTATGGCATTAAATGAGAGTTCGTTACAATCAATAAATATAATTTCTCTTTCCATTCTATTTAGGCAAGAAAAATTTTCATTTTGAATTATTCTCTTAGATAGGAAAAATTATCCTATTTGATAACTTTGGAAACAATGTCAATTTAAAAAGACTACTTTGCCCTTATTTAATTTTTGGAAAAACTTTAATAATAGGAGAATAACAAGGTAGTGTCAGATAAAGATTTGAAAGTGCATTTAATGAGGTTATTTTACCAAAAATCATCCCTTGATGAATAAATGTGGACGTTTTCGTAAAATGAGCATTAAATGAATGGAATAATTGCAAACAGAAGATAGTCAATTTGTCCCTAGCACACAACTAATATTTTAAAAGTATTATAATTATCGTACTTTCTATCAAGACGCGTTACCTTATAGACACAAATGACATTGCAACAACAATTACAAATATTAACACATTCACATAATCACATCAAATGGAGATTGATCAGTGGTGTCACCTAGACTCCCGACGAGCCGTCCTCACACATGGCCTGTCCTCTCATGACATGTGTACCAGGGAGCCGATCTCTTTACATGGTCGACCAATCTCAACCTCACTTGACCAGCCCTCTCCTTGTTTTTATACTCTCTTTTCTTTTCCATACCAACAAGAGATCGCCCTGTGTTTTTCATATCATCCATATCATGATAAATCAGATGCATATGGGGGAGCCGATGTTCCCATACATGACCAACGATATCATAGATCCCCTCATAAACCCAGCTGTGACCTACTTTATTCTAATTCCACACAAACGAAGCATACATGTAGCAGGCCACAACTAATTAAACAATGTTCATTAGCAACAAATAGTGCAATACAAAAAATAATTTACCAAGTAATGCATGTATACCATTTAGTCATGTATGCATAAATGAAAAATGCAGGTGGATGATGTGAATTATCTAACATTACTCACAGCTTTATAGTTTAGTTAGAAGTTATGCTCCTCTTTTGATATCCTGTTATCGGACATTTGATTCCTCGGGGCCCGTAAAAATATCTATCATTCTAGATTCTAATTTCAATAATAGTGTATCTATCTTTTTTTATGCAGGTGGATGATGTGAATTATCTAACATTACTCACAGCTTTATAGTTTAGTTAGAAGTTATGCTCCTCTTTTGATATCCTGTTATCGGACATTTGATTCCTCGGGGCCCGTAAAAATATCTATCATTCTAGATTCTAATTTCAATAATAGTGTATCTATCTTTTTTTTCAACAATTTAATCTGGATATTCTGGATTAATATAAATTCTTTATTTCAGTTTCCTACTCTTAAGGTATCTATTCTAATTTATATATATGTTATATGTACTAGCCTAAGTTCTACGTTTCGATTCGACTATTTTAGTTTCTCAAAATATTTGATTAGTTTCGATGTCTTTATTGTTCATCTAATTTATATCTTCTCAGAGTCTAAGTCTCTTATTCCATATTATCCATCTAACTACCTTGCAAAAAATCTACCAGCATTTTCACTAAAACTGGATTAGTCCTATATTTGCAATTTTCACATTTAAACAATAAAAAACATATATTTGTATCAACAACAAACACAGACCATCCATTGGACAATCATCAATCAATTCCTATCCTCCATTACTTAAAACTTCATTTACTAAATATAGTTATAATGACTACACATAAATACATTTCTCATGATCAGCGTATTGAGGAGAAAATTATGCCTCTAATAGTCTCGTCGGAGCCTCACCAGCCGGTCACTAAACCGCCGCCACTGGTGCCATACATGGTGGCAAGAAAGTCGAGCTTGACGCCACAATACCTCCAAACACACCAATCTGCTCGAATTTTTACCAGGAATCCATATCCAGCATCCATTTGTAGAGAGAAGAAGCCCTTTAGCAAAATCACTTCAACAACCTCCTCCTTGCCATTATTCATGGTGGATTCGTGAGATGGAGCTAGTTGCCGAAAAATATGGAGGGAAATGATCGTGGGTGATGGAGAGTCGATCGAAGGCCTCCTTAAAGATTGTCTTCGTTGATAACGACAGGAATTGCCGAAAAATGTGTCACTATAGTGCCGAAAAATGTGTCACTATAGTACCGAAAAACTTACTCGCGATTTCTCTCGATCTAAGCATTTATTGTGAGAATAGTGGCCGCCTGTGTGTTCGTCTCTTCAAATTCTTGAGTTTAGAGCCCTCACTCACCGAAAACAATGGTCGTTTGGCTAAAAAATGGAAAGGAGAGAGGAAGGGGGTCTGTCAGCGATGGAGAAGAGAGAAGGAAGTTTTGTTAGCTTTCTATCTCCTCATTGATCAGCTTATAACTTATTTGGATTTATGCAAAGGGTTTGGTTCAATTATTAGAAGCTTCAAGGTCCTTAATTTACTTCTGATAGTTTGATTTAGTATCTGTTTTCATACCGTGCCTCCAGGAGCGACTCGAAAACATCCTTTTTTTTATTTTATCTGTTTTTATGTATTGTTTATTTTATTTTGAAGTGGAAAGTAATCTTATTATGAAAAAGTGGTGATAAAACATTTTATTGGATTCGATGCTAATAAATCAATTTTATAAATAGTTT